TGTGATTCAGGAGATCTGCATTCAGTTCCCCACTCTGCCACAGACTCCTTGTGTAACCCTAGGCAAGCTGTTTACTCTCTTTGTGCCTCATTTCCCAGATGAGCATCTTCAGTCTTCATTTGTCTTGTCCATTTAGATGGCCATTTAGATTAACTCTCCAGGACAGGGGTTGCCTCTTATTCTGCGTAGACACAGCACCTACTCCAATGGGGCTCCACTCTCAGCTGGGGCCTCTAGATGCCACTCCTAGTAACGCACACAATAACTTATCTATAATTCTGAGATACAGTAAAATACTGCATCATAGAGTCTGGCCATTGAGCAGATTGTCCATACAGCATATCCAAAAGGAAGACATTTGGAAAACAAATGGACACAAACTGTAGGTTGCTAAAGAAACATTTTTGTCACTGGAAAATTTTCCCCCTAGAGCGTTTTCTGCCCTGGAATGTACCATGCACAGAAGCAACTGCATCGTGCTCTCCCTGAATGTGGACACAAATGTACATGACTTGATAAATCTTTCAGCTTTGTTGCATTATTTAACACTGAGATCTGCAGAAGGGCCATGTAAATCTATGTGGTCTAAAAAAGTCCTGGAGGAAGGAGAGGATCGTATGACTCAGCTCCAGCCCACTTGCAGTTTAATGGTATGAAAACATTTGAGGCAAGTTGATTATAAGTTGAAGTGGAAACATCCTCGTTGCTTAGAGGGAGCAAGCTGCAGTATGAGGCTTTTTCCTGATGAACAAGCATTTCTGGACTGAGAGGTTTTAATGCTTAAATTTTTCATGTGACTTTCCAGCTGGTGACTAGAAAAAGTTGGCCCTGGCAACTGAAGCACTGTGTCCACAGAACAGGAGCAGCATGATCCGTGCTAGTTTCCCCATGAGGTTTTGGACCAGTGTGCATAATCCATGTCCTGGAGGACCGATTCTTCACAGCTCATTTAATCTTTGGGCTCCCTACTGAGACATCCAGCAAGGATGTTTTATGTTCTTTATGATACCAGTTGTGATGCTCACCAATGAAACTCACCAATCCTATTTCACAGAAGAGGGTTGTCAAGCAGCCATTGGAGGATAAAAATGCCATGCAATCTTTAGCAACCAAAAGTGGCGGGAGGCCTCAATTTTACACTTCATCCAAAAGGCAGCACCTTCAGTAGCACCAGCCCCGATCATCAGTTAAGTAGTGATGCAGATGGGAGGAACTCCCACCAAATCATCAACACTTCCCATAGCAATCTGATTTTCTGTAGAATTCTCCTATCCAATTACTGGCCTGGCCTGCGCCTGTGAGCTCCAATGAGGTTGCAGTACAAGCTGGCTTCACTTTGCTCAGAAACTTAAAAATAAAAATCACCACGTCTAATCTTGCTTCACAAGTTTTTGCTGATTGCTGGATTTTGGGGCAGGTCCAGAAGTCTGCATTGTATGGCTCTAAAAATGAGTGCCATTTATTCAGATTTTAAGGCCATGAAGGGACCGTTATGATGATCTAGTCCGACTTCATGCATTACACAGGCCATAAGGATTTCACCCAGTCAAAGCAGTCATAATACTAGGAGTGGGATCTGAAACCAGGCATTTAGGGGAGACTGCGACCTTAACTTCATGCTTGGCCACTTCTGCCAATTACAGTGTTGACCACTTGGTTGAAGATGCAGACAAACTTCAGCTCCTTCTGATCTCATTGTGGAAATGAATTACTCCAGACTTACAATGTGGTCTCAAGAACCATCACACCAAAGACCAATTTAGCCATGTATTCTAGGTCTGAGCATTCTGCAACACATAGATCATACAATAAAGATGGATCGGAAGCAACCAGCTAATTCTGTCAAAACAAAGAATGCATGGAAATATATAAATACTTGCATGTAATATCTAGGCAGAGAACAGTGACTAGGTGCAAAGACTTCTGATCTGGACCCTGATGCAAAGTTCATTAGAATCAATGGGAATCTTTTAATTGACTTCCGTGGGCTTTGGATGAAGGTGCTGGTAACCTAGGAGGGTCTGACAGCTGACAATTGAAGGCTGGTGTGGTGATCTGAGCCAGAGCTTTGGGCTGATCCAATCCTAGCTGAAATATTTACTGCTGGAACTGTTGCACACTCTCTCTCTACTTCAAAACTAGTGCCTATAGACAAGCATAAGAGGGGTTGATTGCCCAAGAGGTTGTTATAGAAGGTTGGTGGTGGTCTGAGGAAGCATCTTAAGCCTGGGATGACTGCTTGGGCTTAACAAGGCTAACATTTCTGGAGTTTTTAAACCTAAAGCCCTCTTGGGAGGTAGCTAAAGCAGTGATGAGGGGGAAGTTAATATCAATTACAATTGTATGGAAGCACTGATGGATGTGGTGAGGTTTTGGGAGGCAAGGGATGGAAATCCATACATGGTCTGGGAATAATAAAGTGTATCAAAAGTGCTCACAGCTAACAGTAGATTAAGGGAGTAAGAGATTCATAAAGCACAACATTTAATGACTCATTAAATGCCTCCTTCTGAGTATGAATTAAAGGGATAAGTTATCGTTGTGGCTGATGGAAAAAGCACTTCAGTAAATATGTTAAAAGGAAGGATGCCAGTCTCGTAGGAGTCTCTCTTATCAGATCCCTAAAAGGTTAGGTAGGGATTTCTTTTCAGAAGTTGCATATGATCCAATTCCCTGGGCAGAGTGAAGAAAGGTAAACTACATTTCTTATCTGGAAAAATATTTTGGAGGATGAAGTTTGGAGATGGCTCAGGAGTGTCCAATAGCAGTAGGGGCCTAGATAACTTTTCTATGGAATACCACAGTCAAGGCCAGAGCTAGCGATGGGACACCAGACTAAATCCACCTGTGACATGATCTGGTATGGCAAATATTTTGTGACACATCTTTCCCACTTGCTCTGGAAAGGATGTAGGGGCACCCATGCTGAACTCCTATGGGAAAGCTGACCAGCCTGTACGCACAACCTGCTTGCCCAGCTCCGACAGGATGAGGAGAAACTAACAACATTTTATTTGTTTGTCAAAGACCAAAAATTAGTTGCTGGCTGAGTAGAATTTTGCAAGGCATGAAAGGGTCTGATTTGCCAAAGCAGAAGAAGTGAGACAGAACAGACAAAGGGAGTAACTTCGCGTTCATGGATGCTTTCAAAAGTTATCAGTACTGTTTATAATATGAATAAGGAGGTGGAGGGCTAAGCACGAATTTCTAGCTGAAACTGAGATCTAATATTGGCAGAAACATTTGATGGTCTCTGTTGTGTCTCATGGACATGGGGCTTAGAGCTCCAGGGAGAGGTGAGGGATTTTACCTTGAGCTCATCTAACTGGTTTTGTCGTGGTGAAAATGTTGCTTCTCTTTCTTAGTCAGTCAGTAAGCAGGATGAAGGTGGCTTTTATTTTAATTTACTGCAGCGGTGCTTGAGTTTGTGGGGCCTGGCAGTTTTGTGGTTGGAAAACCATTTTGGCCTTTGTAAATGGAGCAGGGTTGAGTTGGAAGTTGCCATGGGAGGGAACATCCCAGGATTATTTTCCAGAGTCACTTATGGCCACCCTTAGAAATTCTGTCTGAAATCCACGTGCAGCAAAGCTCTTGTCTGCTTTTCCTCCCTTCATGCTATAAATGCAGAACAATCCCGCTGGATGTTAGAGTTGTTTGTTTTTTAAGGGTCTACCCTTGTTTTTCTTCTACACTCCAAATTCCTGTTGACTTCTGACTGGGTTCTGCATATCTTTCACGTAGGTCTGATTGAAGGTGTTATTCTGCATTCCTTGCTCATGCAAATTGTCCACTGAAGTGAAGGATGGTACCTGGGCAGATCAGACTGAGCTTGGAAGATCCCTTTTATTTTTTGCCTAAGACACGTACTGTCGTTTGTATTAAACCACATACATCAACTGAATTTGAAGAACAACTAGCCAAAGACTTAAAGTAATAGCAAAAAAATTTTCAGTACATCAGAAGTAGGAAGGCTGCTAAACAACTAGTGGAGCTACTGGACGATTGAGATGCTAAAGGATCCGACGATAAGGCCATTGCAGAGAAACTAAATGAATTCTTTGCGTCGGTCTTAACTATGTTCTTAACTGTCTTGTGCAGCTTTGGCTCCAAGTTTATAGAGTCCCAAAGAGGCAGTTTATACTGGAGAAAATCCTAACACTTTTCGTGGAATCCTCTTATGCCAGATTGAAAGAGTAAAGGCCAGTCTAAAATGGAAATTTACACAGGTTTAACTAAAGGTGTGTGTTTTAAACCAGTTTAAACAAATGCGACTGTGTATGTGGACAATCTGATATCCTTTTAAACCTGGCTTATATCTGTGTAGCTTGCACCATATGAACAAGGTTTAAACCCAGATAAGACTGTCCACACACGGGTTTGCATCAGTTTAACTAAATTAGATTTTGCACTGATTTAACTGGGTGTAACATCTGTGTGCAGACAAGCCCTAACATTCATCTCAGAGGCTCCTATATATGCGCTGTCACTAGAGAACAAAGATTTTGAATGGTGACCTTTTAATACACTGGACCCCTGCTAGAACGCGGGATTTGGGATCCATGCCCGGTACCGCGTTAACGCAGGGACTGCGTTAGAATGAACTACAATTAAAGTAATTAAATTTGGGATCCATGGCCGTGACCGCATTATTTGCAAATTTGTGCTAGATAGACGCGCGTTCTAGCAAGGGTCCGGTGTATTTTAATTTGTTTTAAGACACTGGGTCAGATTTATTCCTTTTCCTTCACTGAAGTCAGTGGAGTTACACCCAGGATTCATTTGGCTCAGCTTCCCTCCACCACCCCCCCCTTATACTTTTTGCTTTAATCAATGTACAGTAGGGGAAAACCGGAATAGATCCAGTGCATCTTCAATTTCACATGGACCTGGCTGTCCTTAAGCAATGACCTTTTGCCACTGTGTTATAGATGTAATGTGCAATGTATTGTCTGTGTGATAATTATATGAAAGTGATTTCTAGCCCTATTTTCTCTCTGCAGGCTTGAAGACCATTGTGGGTGCCCTAATTCAGTCTGTGAAGAAACTGTCAGATGTAATGATTTTGACAGTGTTTTGCCTCAGTGTCTTTGCTTTAATCGGCCTGCAGCTGTTTATGGGCAATTTGAGGAACAAGTGTGTAATATGGCCAATTAACCTCAATAAGAGCTTACTAGAGAATGGCACCAGGGGGTTTGACTGGCAAGAATACACCAACAATGTCTGTAGGTATTTCTGCAGCAATGCTCCCTAAAGTCTGTTTCCTTTTTACATGACAAAATGTTGTTGGCCAAGATTTTCAAAATGACTTGAGATTTTGGGTGCCCAACTTCAGGCACCTTAAAGGCCCTGGTTTCTCAACACTTTCTGGAAATTGGGTCTCTTTAAGGTGTCTTAAATTGGGCATCCAGATTCACTTTGGAAAATCATGGCTTTGTCCATTTCAGCATGGTGAGTGCTGTTCCTAAAATAACCACTGTCCATTGGACTGGCCAGTCCTTGTTATAACGTTGCAGATCTGGAGAGGCCTGTGCAAAGCTCTGTAGATCTGTGCTCAACCTACGTTATTTTGTTTAGATCAATGTGACTTTTGCTTTGCGATTCGAACCCCACAAAATGGTGGTCCTGTCCACCTCCACAAAGTAGCTAAAACACAATTCTGCCTTGAGTGTAGGTGGTACTGGAGAGTGTGTCATCCTTGACCCTGGAGTGTGCTTGAAGCACCAACCATGTTTTAATTAGATCAGAGGATGGTTGTGTTAGTGTTCCATAGTGCTGGTTCTTTTCCAGCAAAAGTGGAACCAAAAACTCCAGAGAAAAAATTAGTTTAAATCACCAAGTTTCACCGTTGTATTAATTTCAATGGAATAAATGGTTCCAAAGATTTAAAGGTGTTAAATGACCCTGCCACTGTCCAATGTTAAGCAGTTTTACTGGTATACAGAGACCTCAACCTGCTTAGTACCATGGCAAACACATCATTAAATTTCAGTAAATTTCAAAATTTGAGGATCAGGATGACAAAGACCAAATGGTGTCCCAGTAAAGCCAGGGGTCCCAGGAAATGTTGCGGGTGCAGCCATGATAGTGAAGCTCACTTCTTTTAGTCAGCAATTGTGTTCACTTTTGCCTCCTTGCCCCCCAAAAGGACCCAAAAAGGGAATGATGAGCAGAATAACCTATCCTCTCATTATTTTGTCTACAGATTAGGTCTAATTTCTGACAATCCACCTTTGGTTCATTGATTTCCAGTCCCTCACTTTTCTTGTTTATCAGCATGATCTTAACACAGTCCTTGAATTATATCAGTTGGCCTTTTTGTTTAGACTAATTCAGCCTGTCTCTACCTTTTGCACTTTTCCCCATCTATATTTATTGTTACAGATTGTCACACCTTATAAACTTTTATCTCCTTTCCCACAGTTGGGCTCACAAATGGAGTAGGCCTACTAGGCCCCAATTATCACTACATCACCTGGTTTCAAGGACAAACCCTACACTGTGGCCCATGGTTCAAGGCTCACTTGATACTTGGCCCAGGTTTGCAACTTGTTTGTCCAACCTACAGTGAGTTCTGTGCCTCCAAGCTCACAAACAAAGCTTTTTAGAGCCCAGTCTGTTTAGTTTTAAATGTAGAGTTTTTGAAAGCTACTTCCTTGCTTCAGGGATTCCTTCTCTCTGGCTGTGTCTTATCAAGTGTTATTCATGAGTGGTCAGCCAAGATTGCATACAACTCTGCAGAGAGGGCTTTAGGGATTGAGAAAGTGGCTCATGTATTTGATTCTTAAATCCTAGTTCTATAGCAGGGAGGCTCCCAGCATCAGGGCGTGGGGCACAATAAGCTTCTCTCAATCCTCCACTGAGCTGTACATGCTTTCTTTCTATTAAGCCTTGACCTGACCCCCTCTTTCCCATTATATCTATGTCCAGCATCCTCTTCCAACTGCCATTCTTGCATCCTGGCCTCCTGTCTCTTAAAGCCTTATCTTTGTGTGTCAGTCAGCATTGATTTAGAAAAAGACCAAGCATTTGGAAAAGATATGTGCAAAGAGACCTACGGAGCATGTTGAACCATTTGTAACTAATAGTTTAGTTGTAAAACTAAGCCTGTTGTCCTTTCCTTTCCTACTTATTTATTTTCAATCACTCTAACAGTTCATGCAAATTAATTGCAACCTATGAGCTATTTAATTATTCTCTATTCATGACAGGTTTCAGAGTAGCAGCCGTGTTAGTCTGTATTCGCAAAAAGAAAAAGAGTACTTGTGGCACCTTAGAGACTAACCAATTTATTTGCGCATAAGCTTTCGTGAGCTACAGCTCACTTTATTGGATGCATCCGATGAAGTGAGCTGTAGCTCACGAAAGTTTATGCGCAAATAAACTGTTTAGTCTCGAAGGTGCCACAAGTACTCCTTTCCTTTTCTCTATTCATGGTGTGCAACAGGCAACCTTTATTACCTGATATCAGTTCTTCATCCTGACTGGTTGACTTTTATACAAATGGGGATAATGAACCCTAAATACTTGTGTCTGTGCCCAAATGCCGTGTAGATACAGGTACTAGCTCAAAGAGCAGCCTATTCCCCAAACATTAACAAGAGCAAAAACTTGTCCCCGAATAAAAACAAGGTGTAAACATGGTGAGCGGGAACAGTGAGGAAATGTCTGTGAATGCTATCGGCTCTGCAGATGAAAGCATCGACCTGGCTCCTGAGCTCCGTTATTTGGTTTTCGCTTGGTTCTCACTCACCATATTTCCACTTGAAGTGACTGGGTGCCTTGTATCTCCTTTTGTACTTGTGCAAAGCAGGTAAACAGGCTAGTAGGGCTTACACAGGTGTAAGTGACAACACAAAGCGCAAGGTAGTGGAGAATCAGGGTCCAGCTCATCGCAGCTTCTCCCTTGCTTCCCCACTCTTGAATTAACTTGCTCCAGTGTGCCAGCGATTCATTTGTATTTGCGCTCAAACGGCTGTATTAACTTCCAGGAAGAACCTAGATGACTGCTCTGTTAAGGCTTCTGTAGTTTTGTAATATGCTGAGTCCATTAAGTGTGCAGTGTGCATACATATGTGTTTTAACATTTTTTTTCAGCAAACTTTTACGTAATCCCTGGGGCCCTTGATCCTTTGCTCTGTGGTAACAGCTCAGATGCAGGGTAAGTGTTGGACTTTATTAAAAGTAAAGAATGTCTTTCTTCTCCAATGGCTTTCATCGAGCTTAGTGGTGGCACAGGCTTAAAGGTGATTCCATGTAGCCTGTTCTCCTTTCATTGAATGCACCCCATTAGTAACTGTCTCTCTACTCTGCATGTATCATGCCTGACACAGGGTATTCGTGTAGGCTTGCTGGACTGCGGTGTCATATGTAAACAAAAATATAACTTCTGTTTTAAAAAGACAAATTCATTATTTGTGGTTCATTTTGCACCACTTAAAATTAAGCAACTGATGTGTATGGAATGTTGCAGGCTACATTCTCCCAGTTCACTAGCAAATGGATCGTAGCCGTACTAGGATGGGATTTTCAAAGGAGATTTGGGAAGTTAGAAGCACTGTTCTCATTGCTTCTCAATGAGAATTGTCCTAAATCATTTAGGGCTTTGGGCGCCTAACTACTTCTAAAAATCTGGCCCTTGGACACTTGAAATCCAGTCCTGGGTGCCCAGCTGCCCATAGCTCTTTGAAAACCCTGTCCCTAAACTTTAGCGTTCGTATTTAATTACCTTATTTAAAATCTATGTAAGACCATTATCTGTATTTACAGCATGCATTTCCATTAGCATTAGTAAATTAATTCTTTTTAGTCAAAAACTTACAGTTGCTGGTTAATTTGGGTCACAACAGAAAACTTGATTGGTATAAAAGCAAGAGAACAAGAAAATGAATCTATGGGGTCCTTGAATTTCAACCTCAAGTCATTTAGATTATTCAGGAGGCCTGAAAGGCTCAGGATGGCTGGGAATGATCTAGAGCTTTTCACTTTTAGATTGCTGGTTCCAATCCAGCCTTGGTCAGTAGTAACTGTTCTTACCTTGTGATGGCCATTCGTTGGTCAATATTAAGTAAGTTGGTGGTTCTTAATCTAGATCCCAATGGTAGGTCCATGTCACATCACCTACCATCACCACAGTTGGCACTGGCTGGCCTGCAGCAAGGCCAAGGATTGAGCGCTGATCCAAAGCCCACTGAAGAACATGGAAAAACTCCAATTGGCTCAAGGGGGCTTTTGTTCAGGTCACCAGTGGGTATGAAGATTGTAGTAGGCTCTTACCCCTGTAGCTAGCCTGTCCAGCTCAGGTTTGGTCAGGCAATATGAATAACCTTGTACTGCTGCATTCTGTGGATAAGGGCTTCTGTCTCCATGGTTGTCAACTGCCCTGTTTTTTTGCCAACCACTTTGTCCCCATGAAAATAAAGCACATATGAAATGTTGCACCTTGCTGCTGTGAAAGTCATCACAGCCTTTGGCAACAAGCCTCCTGTTCATCTGTCCTTATGGCTCTTACAATATTGATACCCTGAAACTGCTTTCCTCTTTTCTGCAGCCAATGTCCAGAGGGTTACACATGCATGAAAGCAGGAAGGAATCCAAACTATGGCTACACAAGCTTTGACACTTTCAGCTGGGCTTTCCTAGCCTTATTTCGCCTTATGACTCAGGATTTTTGGGAAAACTTGTATCAGTTAGTAAGTAAATGTTTTGTTGCCTGTAATTTCATACACATTTGTGGGAGGATGGGGAGTTTTTTAAGGGTCTGAGGGAGCCACCCACAAGTGTATGGTTGTGTGACTTAGGAGGAGTTGTATTTTTAAGGAGGGGAAGAATGGCACCAGGGAGAGCGCATGTGGCATTCTTGACTGTTTTCAGCCTGGAGGCTGTTCTGTTTTGCTAAGTCTTCTAACTAAGATTCTGTGGTGAATGCTGCAAAATTGTCATGCTGTATGTTGTGCATAAGTGCGTACCTGAGCTTTGCTGATACTCTTGTAGTATAACACAGGGCATCCAGGTGCTATGAAGGGTAAAGTGTGTCCATCCATGTTGTCTAAGAACAATTCAGACTTCTCTAGCAGGTTGGCATCATGCTGAACCAGCATTGTTTCAAAAGAATCTCTGTGCTTGGCATTGAGTTTCATACTGTATTTCTGAATCCCTGAAAACTTCCATCTTTTGGTCAGATTTACAACCTTTACTCCTGCCTGACATAGCATCAGGCTTGTCCTTAAAGGAAGGAGAAGAGTCATTTCACTGCTTGGGCCCAAGGTTGTTGGGTGTGCTGTGTATCCTAATTCTTTAGAATGGATTCTGCTAAAAAATTAGATAACACTTCGTATGTATGGTACCGATGTATTTTTCTTTAGAATCATCCATCAGGAGAACTGTGATTGGCTGCTCAGATCCATATTGTAGACAGTCTCTTCTGAATCAAAGTGATAGGGAAATTGCTGTCTCTTTTTCAGACCTTGCGAGCAGCAGGAAAAACGTACATGATATTCTTTGTCCTGGTTATCTTTGTGGGTTCATTCTATCTGGTCAATCTGATCTTGGCTGTGGTAGCCATGGCTTATGAGGAGCAGAACCAGGCCACGCTGGAGGAAGCGGAGCAAAAGGAAGCAGAATTCAAGGCCATGTTGGAACAGCTGAAAAGGCAGCAGGAAGATGCGCAGGTTACAGTTTTGATTAATACTTTTTTTTTAGGTTGTTATAATTTTTTTTCTGAACCATTAATTACAAAACAGAGTCATATAAAATTATGAAAATACAGTAATGAACTGAGTGGTGTGTCTGGGCCTCACTGCGCTCTGTTGGGTGGAATTAGAATTGCTCACCCTGTGTTCCTATGCCCAACATATTGCTAACATTTTTTACGGAGTTTCTCCTTTAGCTAAAGTGGCAGTGGCCTGCGTTTTTGTAGCAAGACGACCTGGGTTCTGTCTCTGCTACCTCTGTGACAGTCCAGGTGTATAGCACAATGGTAACTGCAAAGTTCTTAGAAAGCCACAGATTCGTTCTATTATTTGCATTGTACTGGTTAAAGCATCTATCACCAGAGAATGTCAGAACAGCTCTCGGTTCTAGCTGAGCCTTGCCACACCCATGTAAGGCAGATAAGTATTATTTCTACTCATCAGAGAGAGGACTAAACTGAGGGACAAAGAAGTGAAGTTACTTGAACCAAGGGGAGTCTGCAGCAGAACCCACAAGTTCTGGATCCCAGTCCTGTGTTCTAACCATTTGCACAAAATCCCCATTTTAAGGAGGAAGCAGAACTTAGGAGTCTGGTGTCCTGATCCGGTGCACTAAGCATTAGACCACACAACTTCCCAGAGCAGGAAAGAGAGATGTGGATTCCTAGCTCAGCCCCCCATGCTGTAACCATTCCACTCCACTGCCTCTGCGAGATGACTGTCATTTTTCTGTCTTACCCACTCCCTTTCCCTGTTCACTAAATAAGGAACAAATTAATTTTGTCCCTTTCCCCTCAGGCTGCTGCCATGGTCACTTCGGCAGGGACGGTCTCAGAAGATGCTGTGGAGGATGATGGCAGGGGGAGGGTGTCTCAGAGCTCTTCTGAGATTTCCAAACTCAGCTCTAAGAGTGACAAGGAGCGGCGGAACAGGAGGAAGAAACGGAAGCAGAAGGAGCTCTTGGAAGGAGAGGAGAAGGGTGACAACGAGAAGGTGTTCAAGTCTGAATCGGAGGATGGAATGAGGAGAAAAGCTTTTAGGCTACCAGACAACAGGCTGGGAAGGAAATTTTCCATCATGAATCAGGTAACATTCCTTTGCATTATTAAGAGTCACATTTCCTTTCTTGGGGCCTCATCTGGTGCCCTTTGCAATCCAAGGGAATCTTTCCGTTCCTTTTAATTGATGCTGGATCAGGAGGAAACTTAGGGCCCAATCTTGTAGTGTTTGCTTACACAACAAGTCCTGCATGTCCCTGTGAGCCTAGTGGAAATCAGGAATAACTCTGAAGTCAGGGCAGTTACACAGGTGACTTTCAATTAGACTTATGCGCATAAGTGCCAGGTCGCTTTTGAAAATGGAACTAAGGCTCCTAGGTCACTGAGGTGCTTTTGAAAAATTTACTCAACATGCTTGGGTTCGATCATTTTTCCTAAAATTTTCTTTGTATATTAAAAGTGCTGGATTGAGGACCAAAGGGAGTAAAGTCCTCCCCTAAAGCCCAGCACAAAGGCACCAGCTGGGGATGCTTTCTCCCACACTGCCACCCAAATATGGTTCAACCTTGGTTTTAGCAGCCCCCTTTAGGGGAGTGCAGTCTCCATGGCCTGTTCATTCCTTGGCCTCTTTGCTGAGCCTGCTCCCAAGGATCTAGCTGTGATTGTGATTTGTATCTGTATTACAACAGCACCTATCGACCTGGATCAGGGTCAAGACCCCATCATTAGCAATTATCTTTGAAAAGTCATGGAAGATGGGAGACATTCCAGAAGATTGGAAAAGGGCAAATATAGTTTCCATCTATAAAAAGGGAAATAAGGACAACCCGGGGAAGTACAGACCAGTCAGCTCAACTTTTGTACCTGGAAAGATAATGGAGCAAAATAATTAAGCAATCAGTTTGCAAACCCTAGAAGATCATAAGGTGATAAGTAACAGTCAGCATGGATTTGTCAAGAACAGATCGTGTCAAACCAACCTGATAGCTTTCTTTGGCAGGGTAACAAGCCTTGTGGTTGGGGAGGAAGCGGTAAATGTGCTATATCTTGACTTCAGTAAGGCTTTTGTTACTGTCTCGCATGACTGTCTCATAAACAACCTAGATGGAGCTACTATAAGATGGGTGCATAACTAGTTGGAAAATCGTTATCGTTATCATTGGTTCACAGTCATGCTGGAAGGGCATAACGAGTGGGTTCCTACAGGGATCAGTTCTGGGTCTGGTTCTGTTCAATATCTTCATCAGTGATTTAGATAATGGCATACAGAGTGCACTTATAAAGTTTATGGATAATACCAAGCTGGCAGGAGTTGCAAATGCTTTGGAGGATAGGATTAAAATTCAAAATGATCTGGACAAACTGGAGAAACGGTCTGAACTAAATAGGATGAAATTCAGTAAGGACAAATGCAAAGTACTCCACTTAGGAAGGAACAGTCAGGTGCACACATGCAAAATGGGAAATGACGGCCTAGGAAGGAGTACTGCAGAAAGGGAGCTGGGGGTCATAGTGGATCACAAGCTAAATATGAGTAAACAGTGTAACGCTGTTGCAAAAAAAGCAAACATCATTCTGGGATGTATTAGCAGGAGTGTTGTAAGCAAGACACGAGAAGCAATTCTTCTGCTCTTCTCTGCGCTGATTAGGCCTCAACTGTAGTATTGTGTCCATTTCTGGGCGCCACATTTCAGGAAAGATGTGGACAAATTGGAGAGAGTCCAGAGAAGAGCAACAAAAATGATTAAAGGTCTAGAAAACATAGAATCATAGAATATCAGGGTTGGAAGGGACCCCTGAAGGTCATCTAGTCCAACCCCCGGCTCGAAGCAGGACCAATTCCCAGTTAAATCATCCCAGCCAGGGCTTTGTCAAGCCTGACCTTAAAAACCTCTAAGGAAGGAGATTCTACCACCTCCCTAGGTAACGCATTCCAGTGTTTCACCACCCTCTTAGTGAAAACGTTTTTCCTAATATCCAATCTAAACCTCCCCCACTGCAACTTGAGACCATTACTCCTCGTTCTGTCATCTGCTACCATTGAGAACAGTCTAGAGCCATCCTCTTTGGAACCCCCTTTCAGGTAGTTGAAAGCAGCTATCAAATCCCCCCTCATTCTTTTCTTCTGCAGGCTAAACAATCCCAGCTCCCTCAGCCTCTCCTCATAAGTCATGTGTTCTAGACCCCTAATCATTTTTGTTGCCCTTCGCTGGACTCTCTCCAATTTATCCACATCCTTCTTGTAGTGTGGGGCCCAAAACTGGACACAGTACTCCAGATGAGGCCTCACCAATGTCGAATAGAGGGGAACGATCACGTCCCTCGATCTGCTCGCTGTGCCCCTACTTATACATCCCAAAATGCCATTGGCCTTCTTGGCAACAAGGGCACACTGCTGACTCATATCCAGCTTCTCGTCCACTGTCACCCCTAGGTCCTTTTCCGCAGAACTGCTGCCTAGCCATTCGGTCCCTAGTCTGTAGCGGTGCATTGGATTCTTCCATCCTAAGTGCAGGACCCTGCACTTATCCTTATTGAACCTCATCAGATTTCTTTTGGCCCAATCCTCCAATTTGTCTAGGTCCTTCTGTATCCTATCCCTCCCCTCCAGCGTATCTACCACTCCTCCCAGTTTAGTATCATCCGCAAATTTGCTGAGAGTGCAATCCACACCATCCTCCAGATCATTTATGAAGATATTGAACAAAACCGGCCCCAGGACCGACCCTTGGGGCACTCCACTTGATACCGGCTGCCAACTAGACATGGAGCCATGTCCTATGAGGGAAGATTGAAAAAATGACATGACCTATGAGGGAAGATTGAAAAAATTGGGTTTGTTTAGTCTGGAAAAGAGAAGCCTGAGAGGGGAGAGTTTTCAAGTACATAAAAGGTTGTTACAAGGAGGAGGGAGAAAAATTGTCTTCGTGACTTCTGAGGATAGGACAAGAAGCAACGGGCTTTAATTGCAGCAAGGGCGGTTTAGGTTGGACATTAGGAAAAACTTCCTAACTGTCAGACTGGTTAAGCACTGAAATAAATTGCCTAGGGAGGTTGTGGAATCTCCATCATTGGGGATTTTTAAGAGCAGGTTGGACAAACTCCTGTCAGGGATGGTCTAGATAATTAGTCCTGCCACGAGTGCAGGGGACTGGACTAGATGACCTCTCAAGGTCCCTTCCAGTTCTATGATTCTATGCTGGGCACTGTACAGACCAGGACAAAAAGGCACTCTCTGTCCCAAAGAGCTTTCAGTTCAAGTGATGCGGTTTATGGAATGCAGGTAACTACCCTTTAGGAACAGTAGTGAGGCCACTTGTACCAAACAGACAATTGCACTGACTTGTCCAGTGTAAATGGATGGCCCTAGATCCAGGGATGAGAGTGGCCTTCTGTGATATCGCTTTGCTTTTCTTTCTACCATTCACGTCGTCACTGTTCTTTCTTTTCTCCCTCCCAGTCCCTTCTCAGCATCCCAGGCTCCCCTTTCCTCTCCCGGCACAACAGCAAGAGCAGCATCTTCAGCTTCAGAGGGCGCTTCCGTGATCCAGGCTCAGAGAACGAATTTGCTGATGATGAGCACAGCACGGTGGAGGAGAGTGAAGGCAGGAGAGACTCCCTTTTCGTCCCCTTCCGTGGCCGGGAACGGAGAAGCAGCTACAGTGGTTACAGTGGGTACAGCCAGGGCAGCCGGTCCTCACGGATCTTCCCCAGCATCCGCCGGAACGTGAAAAGGAACAGCACAGTGGATTGTAATGGCGTGGTGTCCCTTATTGGCGGCCCGGCATCTAATAGGCCCGTGGGACGCCTTCTGCCTGAGGTGAAAATAGATAAGGCAGCTACTGATGACAGTGTAAGGAAGTCAATGAGTAGATAGTCTAGGCATGGCGGTCTGCCCTCTTCTGCTTTCCTGTATGCCGCCCTCCAAGCCAAATGGAAACCCTGATGGAATGAAAATTGGTTTGTCTAACCGCAGACTATATAGTCTGTATTGGATTCAAAGACTGCCATGCTTCAGTTACCCCCTTCCTTTCTTCTTGAGTAACCTACTGACCCACATCCTCCTCCTGGCTTCCTGGGGGGGGAAAAAAAGGCTTGGAATTGAGATTTTCATGAAGGATATAATAATAAACCTGCCTTTAGTAATGGCAATTCTTAGGAACAATTTATTTAAGAGGTGCGGGAGAGGAAATAGACCAAGATTTGCTGGAAAGTTTCTCCCACCAAATTTTTAAAAAAAATCCTTTATGGAGGAATAATTTTAAAAACAAATGTAAACAGGTCAGAGAATTTTTACATTCGAAGGCCACGATCCTGCAGTCAGGTCTAGATGGAACAAAGTCTTACTTCCTTACCCACTGAAGTTCATGGAACTCCTTTGGAGTGTAAGTGGAGCCACCCTCCTGCCTGGATCAGCTTTCAGGATTTGGGTCTTAGAAGTGAAGGGAGGAGAGTGTGAGAGAGCAATTTCAAACAAAGAACCAAATCAGGCACCAGGAGTGACAGCTTTGGGGAAGACCAGACCTATGAGAAGGGGGATCTAGGTGAAATATAAGCTTAAAAGGGAACACTGACAAGAAATTTAATTCCAAATATAGGTTTTGTTCTTTTTTGTAATATATATTACAAAATCTAGTAAGGAAGAAATGTTTTAATGGAATTAAGAAAATAATTTCAGTGAAAACAGTGTCATTTTAGATTTAAACTTTCTCAGCATGGCACTAGTGCATGAGAAACAGGTGGTGAAACTGACTATAAACAGAGCAGAGACTCTGACCAGTCTAGTTTCACTGCCCAAGTTGAATGAAATGAAACCATCAGTTTAGATGGTTGGGAAGTAAACTTAATTTAATTTTTAAAATCCTTCCATTGTAATCATCTCATCCTTCTGTGTGAAATCCTATAGAATTTAACAGAGACAAACTTACGATAGAATTTTAAAAACCATCTTATGGAAGCCTAGAGGATAATATAATTATCAGGCCCCAATCCGGCAATCTGATTTATGCATATGGATCTATGCAGTCATGCACACTGCTGCACATCAGTTTGGCTCAGGTTGCCAAATCAGGGCCTTTACAGTCTATAAATTGTTTAAGGTGATATCTATTGAATCATATTGATTTAATCTCCCTCAAATTCTACAGGAATTTTCCACAAGGGAAATTTTTAACACAATGGAGGAAAATAATTTTTTCTTTTTCTTTGTATTTTTTTTAATATCTGATTTTTCTCTTGACAGTGACCTTTTAAAACAAAAGGGTTGAATGAACTTCAGTCAAAAAATTCATTTAAAAATATGCCAACAAAACAAGTTAGTCTAGAAAGCCAGAGAGAGCCTGTACTATTATGTGCTAGTTAGAAGGGATTGTTTGGCCTTCGATAAAAAGAAAGGGTAGCAAGATCATTTGTGAGCTGTCTAAAAAAAATAGCTTTTGGGGGAAATCCAGCTAGTGTGTGTGTAAATTCCAAGCAGTTTTTTTTTAATTTTTGCAACCTAAATTAATACCCTCTAATCCTTGATTCATCCTTGAGACTTTATTGACCCTTCTTTAGTTACGTTAAACTTTAGTTCCTACCTTCTTCCCCAGTTAGCATGTTAATATAATGTGTAGTTTGAATATTTTGTTCTCTTTCTAACACAGCATGGAAATATTAGAAACTGTAATTAGCATGATGAATGCATGAAAAACATCTGAAGAGAGACTTCTGTATTATGTGATACTGGATACACTGGTTACTTGGCAGTTCTTTTTGATAACTGGCTATACCTGTAGTTAAACAATGCAAATACCAATTAGCCATCATGACCACTGAGGAATCACACGGGTTATGCAGGATACCTTAGTCACTCATAGAGTAAGTATCTCATTTCCTTAAGAAAGGGAGACAAAAGGCTGTTTAAGGCACATGTGTTCTTTTCACAAGCAACTGATGGCAGACTCCTGTATCGAGGGCAAAGCAATAAACTGTTGGAAGCACACACGGTAGATCTCTGGGCCTAGATTTGCTCCCATTGGGTACAATTAATCCTTTACTAGAGCAAAGCCTAAGAAATGATTACATCTGTCTTGTATAACAAAATCCAGATTTTGGCTGTTGACTTGAATGGGAGTTGAGAGCGCTGGGCTCTCGCACTGTAGTCTGTCCTTAATTACCAGCAGCTCACATTGTTCTCTATGGGCTGGACTCTGCCCCAAAGAGTTTACAGTCTAAATAGATGGGGCAGACAAAGGTGGTAGAAAGGCAGGACTATTTTTAAGTGACTAGCTAAGTCGCACAGGGAGTCTGTGGCAGAGGTGGGAGCTGACCCAAGATCTCCTGTGTCCCAGTTAGTACATTAGCAACAATCCACCCTTCCTCCGATTGATATAAATTAGGCTTCTTGCGGAGCAAAGGACTATGCAGAAACTGCCAAATTTTTAAAACTCTCCTTTTGGTTGGTCTTAAATATGCAAATACTCTGCATTAAGAATATATTGGAAATGCTAAGCTTCCAGTAACCACATTTTTTTTAAGTAGTGCAAACTACTGCTGCAGCCTGCGGAAGCAGCATCCATAGTGTTACGTAAGATAAACGCACCAGGCTCGTGCATAAGGAATGACGTCAGTATGGAAAACCCCCGTTTTATTTTCTCCCTTGGGTGCATGCTATCTATCCAACGTGACGATATGCAGAGTTTCAGACTGATCAAGAGTCTGTTCTAATTAGACATGTGAATTTTGCAGGGTACTACCGAGGTGGAGATTAAAAAGAAACATACCGGGTCTCTCTTGGTCTCAATGGATCAACTGAATGCATCCTATGGAAGAAAGGATCGAACCAACAGTATAATGACTGTTTTAACTAATACCCTTGTAGAAGGTGTGCACAATGCCATGTAATTTAGTGTGTATGTCTGTATTTATGTGTGTGCCTAATGACGCCTTGGCTACCTTGGAGAAACTAGAAGACCTATTGCTGGTAACTAGAAGGAGATTCTCCTCTTGGCTGATGTGTTATGGAGTTGAATGTGGTGGGTTTAATCCCTGTTGTTTCTGCATCCAGTTTGACTCATGCAGCAATGTGTTTGTTACTGTATCAGTGTGACAGTTTTGGGGGTTGTGGTTCTTTTCCCCCCTTGTTTGGATTCATATGATAATTTTCAAACCTTCCCTCAACTGAAACCTCAGTGTTTTGGGTGGGAGATGTGTGGAACTGGAGTTCTGCCTGGCTTCTACTCAGAACCACAAATTCCTCCAGGTTCTGTTGAGCCATGGCTCAGTCTTGTGAACTGGGCCCCAAGTTGTGGCTTTGTAACAAACTCCAGACTGAGAGAGAAAGCACTAAGCATTTTACACAGCTGTATTAATTCCCCTTTAGAACAATGCAACACACAGCTATTACCGTACAACAATGTATATCACATTAAGGAGATTGGTGGAAAGACATTAAAGGAGGGAATCTGGGCAACACAACTACTTGTAGGCAGCCATGGAAAAGGTGGTTTTTGTGCTGTGTTTAGCAGAGATGAAACCACAACAGCCAGAGAGGTTGGTGATCGGAGCAGAGGGAGGCAAATGGATTTTTCTGCTGAGCTGCTGTGAAGGCACCAAAGAATTGATGCTTAACTTAGTGGTGATTCCTCCCTCAGAGAAGTACAGTGCTTACTTTGTGCCACGGCTTGCCAGGGCTGAGCCCTGGCACCTCTAGGCTTAGAATCATAGAATATCAGGGTTGGAAGGGACCCCAGAAGGTCATCTAGTCCAACCCCCGGCTCGAAGCAGGACCAATTCCCAGTTAAATCATCCCAGCCAGGGCTTTGTCTAGCCTGACCTTAAAAACCTCTAAGGAAGGAGATTCTACCACCTCCCTAGGTAACGCATTCCAGTGTTTCACCACCCTCTTAGTGAAAAAGTTTTTCCTAATATCCAATCTAAACCTCCCCCACTGCAACTTGAGACCATTACTCCTCGTTCTGTCATCTGCTACCATTGAGAACAGTCTAGAGCCATCCTCTTTGGAACCCCCTTTCAGGTAGTTGAAAGCAGCTATCAAATCCCCCCTCATTCTTCTCTTCTGCAGGCTAAACAATCCCAGCTCCCTCAGCCTCTCCTCATAAGTCATGTGTTCTAGACCCCTAATCATTTTTGTTGCCCTTCGCTGGACTCTCTCCAGTTTATCCACATCCTTCTTGTAGTGTGGGGCCCAAAACTGGACACAGTACTCCAGATGAGGCCTCACCAATGTCGAATAGAGGGGAACGATCACGTCCCTCGATCTGCTCGCTATGCCCCTACTTATACATCCCAAAATGCCATTGGCCTTCTTGGCAACAAGGGCGCACTGCTGACTCATATCCAGCTTCTCGTCCACTGTCACCCCTAGGTCCTTTTCCACAGAACTGCTGCCTAGCCATTCAGTCCCTAGTCTGTAGCTGTGCATTGGGTTCTTCCGTCCTAAGTGCAGGACCCTGCACTTATCCTTATTGAACCTCATCAGATTTCTTTTGGCCTAATCCTCCAATTTGTCTAGGTCCTTCTGTATCCTATCCCTCCCCTCCAGCGTATCTACCACTCCTCCCAGTTTAGTATCATCCGCAAATTTGCTGAGAGTGCAATCCACACCATCCTCCAGATCATTTATGAAGATATTGAACAAAACCGGCCCCAGGACCGACCCTTGGGGCACTCCACTTGATACCAGCTGCCAACTAGACATGGAGCCATTGATCACTACCCGTTGAGCCCGACAATCTAGCCAGCTTTCTACCCACCTTATGGTGCATTCATCCAGCCCATACTTCCTTAACTTGCTGACAAGAATACTGTGGGAGACCGTGTCAAAAGCTTTGCTAAAGTCAAGAAACAATACATCCACTGCTTTCCCTTCATCCACAGAACCAGTAATCTCATCATAGAAGGCGATTAGATTAGTCAGGCATGACCTTCCCTTGGTGAATCCATGCTGGCTGTTCCTGATCACTTTCCTCTCATGCAAGTGCTTCAGGATTGATTCTTTGAGGACCTGCTCCATGATTTTTCCAGGGACTGAGGTGAGGCTGACTGGCCTGTAGTTCCCAGGATCCTCCTTCTTCCCTTTTTTAAAGATTGGCACTACATTAGCCTTTTTCCAGTCATCCGGGACTTCCCCGGTTCGCCACGAGTTTTCAAAGATAATGGCCAATGGCTCTGCAATCACAGCCGCCAATTCCTTCAGCACTCTCGGATGCAACTCGTCCGGCCCCATGGACTTGTGCACGTCCAGCTTTTCTAAATAGTCCCTAACCACCTCTATCTCCACAGAGGGCTGGCCATCTCTTCCCCATTTTGTGATGCCCAGCGCAGCAGTCTGGGAGCTGACCTTGTTAGTGAAAACAGAGGCAAAAAAAGCATTGAGTACATTAGCTTTTTCCACATCCTCTGTCACTAGGTTGCCTCCCTCATTCAGTAAGGGGCCCACACTTTCCTTGGCTTTCTTCTTGTTGCCAACATACCTGAAGAAACCCTTCTTGTTACTCTTAACATCTCTGGCTAGCTGCAGCTCCAGGTGCGATTTGGCCCTCCTGATATCATTCCTACATGCCCGAGCAATATTTTTATACTCTTCCCTGGTCATATGTCCAACCTTCCACTTCTTGTAAGCTTCTTTTTTATGTTTAAGATCCGCTAGGATTTCACCATTAAGCCAAGCTGGTCGCCTGCCATATTTACTATTCTTTCGACTCATCGGGATGGTTTGTCCCTGTAACCTCAACAGGGATTCCTTGAAATACAGCCAGCTCTCCTGGACTCCTTTCCCCTTCAAGTTAGTCCCCCAGGGGATCCTGGCCATCCGTTCCCTGAGGGAGTCGAAGTCTGCTTTCCTGAAGTCCAGGGTCCGTATCCTGCTGCTTACCTTTCTTCCCTGCGTCAGGATCCTGAACTCAACCAACTCATGGTCACTGCCTCCCAGATTCCCATCCACTTTTGCTTCCCCCACTAATTCTACCCGGTTTGTGAGCAGCAGGTCAAGAAAAGCGCCCCCCCTAGTTGGCTCCTCTAGCACTTGCGCCAGGAAATTGTCCCCTACGCTTTCCAAAAACTTCTTGGATTGTCTATGCACCGCTGTATTGCTCTCCCAGCAGATATCAGGAAAATTAAAGTCACCCATGAGAATCAGGGCATGCGATCTAGTAGCTTCCGTGAGCTGCCGGAAGAAAGCCTCATCTACCTCAACCCCCTGGTCCGGTGGTCTATAGCAGACTCCCACCACTACATCACTCTTGTTGCACACACTTCTAAACTTAATCCAGAGACGCTCAGGTTTTTCTGCAGTTTCGTACCGGAGCTCTGAGCAGTCATACTGCTCCCTTACATACAGTGCTACTCCCCCACCTTTTCTGCCCTGCCTGTCCTTCCTGAACCGTTTATAACCATCCATGACAGTACTCCAGTCATGTGAGTTATCCCACCAAGTCTCTGTTATTCCGATCACGTCATAGTTCCTTGACATCACCAGGACCTCCAGTTCTCCCTGCTTGTTTCCAAGGCTTTGTGCATTCGTATATAAACACTTGAGATAACCTGTTGATCGCCCCTCATTCCCAGTATGAGGCTTGGCAGTTCATAGCCCTGGCATCTCTTTCATTACAAATTAAGCACTGGAGAAGTACTTGTGCATTTTGTTTGCACCTAAATCTGCACCTCTTCAAAGACTCTCATACTCCCAGGTGCGGGGGAGTAAAAACAACTGGTGTATGTTCTGGTTCCAATAACAATATGCAAAAGGGAAACTATAGTTGTCACTCAATCTGAATGTATAGGTGTTCTGCACAAATGGGGAATGGAGAAAGTCTCCTTTGCCTGAAGCCCAAGAATAGAGAGATCTGAACTGCATTGAGATCTTGGCTGTGTCAGCTGTCAATAGAGAGTGACTTCCATGTGACAAATGCCGAAATAAACAGTAGATCAAGATGAGCAAATGACTCTGATTTCCAAATATATTATGCAAGAGGCTGTAAGAGTTTGAGAATGACAGACGTGTGTGTGTGGGGGTGTTCTCTGATTCTTACAGGATCCTGTAATAATATATATGAAAATTATATATACTTTGAAAATAGAGCAAGGTTTCTGTGTGGCTTTCCTCCTGCACAAACTCCTACAGCTCCAGTGCTGTGATCCTTTTTTAAACTTTCAGAAAACCAATGCAACCATATTCTTAGCAACCAAAAGACAAATTGGAGTTGGAGAAGTCCACCAAAGCATCTCTCCCTTCCCAAGCAAAAATACAACAACCACCTTGGACAGTTGTGTGAAGCTTGGATAGAATAACCGGAGGACAAAGAATGGGCAAAAAGCAACATAAGTTTCCAGGAGAAATGTAAAAATATCTTAAATAAATAAAGCCACTTAAGTCACGGGTGTTGCGTTCATGGTGGCTTTCTCTAAATGGACAACATTCATTTTAACCATGCTTGTACCAATTTATCCCAAATTGATTCTTTAATAAGTGAACTAAGTGTGTCCACACCACTGTGTTGCATAGTTTAAAATGGCATCTTTAGGTAAACTGGTGCAACTTTGAATATAGGTGAGGTCTGAGGGCCCGATGTGTGAAGTCCAGTAGATGGATCCCGTTAACTGCAGTGATTGTTGAATCACATCCTAAACCCACAGGTTGGGCTCTTGGGTAAAACAGTTATGGGATCCGTTATTGTTATTGTAATTTGTATTATGGGATCACCTAGAGGCCCCAGTCCCAGCCCCATAGTATTGGGGACAGTACAAACATACAGCAAAGAGACTCTGCACCAAAGAGCTTAAAGCAAAGTATAAGCAAAGACGCAAGGTGGATTCAACACCGCCAAGGGGAGCAGTGAAATGATACTGTAGCCATGTTAACAGATTAAGGCAGATCTAGGAGGACAAGACCTGACTCTTTGCTATTTTGTTTTGTAACTGCAGAGTTGGAAGAATCCCAGAGGAAGTGCCCCCCCTGTTGGTACAAATTTGCCAACACCTTCCTGATCTGGGAGTGCCACCCACATTGGATCAAGCTGAAAGAGATAGTGAACATGATTGTCATGGATCCCTTTGTTGACCTGGCCATTACCATCTGTATTGTGCTGAACACTGTCTTCATGGCGATGGAACACCATCCCATGACCCCTGAGTTTCAAGATGTTCTGACTGTAGGAAATCTGGTAAGAGTGCTTTGGGAAAACATGTTGTAGGGGGTATAGAGGGTTCGTAAAACTCTGAGGCTTCGTGTTAACAGTGACAAGCAGATTCACGTTTACAATAATACAAATAAATAACAGTAAGGGTAAATGAACTAGCTATCAATAGTGTCATGTCACCCTTCTGTGTACAGATCCTTGTAAATCCTTTTAGAAGGTCTGTGTGTTTTCCCAGACATCTGGGCACTGCCTGAAATAAGTGGCAAGATCCTCTACAGTGCAGATGCAGATGGGGGACTGATTCAATGCCCACTCAAGTCAATGGAAGTCTTTCACACTGGTTTCAGTGGATGTAGAACAGGGCCTACAAAGCACTAGATGAGCTGGAGAGGGAGTGCAGGGGACACGACCCTGTATCACTGAGAGTGCTGCTGCCAAGGGATCTCTGCCTCTCAGCAAGCATGAGGCCCAGGAGGGGAGTGGTAAGGTGTCTCTTTGGCATGATGAACACACTTCAACTCATCAGAAGGAGGCAGTGTGCCTTCTAGAGGAGAGAGCACTGGCCTGGGACTCAGGAAACCTGGGTCCTATTCCCAGCTCTGCCACTGGCTTGCTGTGTGACCTTGGGAAAGTTGAGGAGTACTTGTGGCAATTTATTAAATTGGTTAGTCTCTAAGGTGCCACAAGTACTCCTTTTCTTTTTGCAAAGACAGACTAACACAGCTGTTACTCTGAAACTTGGGAAAGTTAGTTCTCCGTGCCTCAGTTTCCCCATCTGTAAAATGGGAATAATGATGCTGACCTCCTTTGCAAAGTGTTTTGACATCTACTGATGAAAAGCATTACATGAGTTAGATATTTTTATAATTAGACCAGAGCGCACCACCCTTTTTTTAACCGTGTGCACTTGTGTGTGGTTTCACGTTCTTGTTTGTAGTGTTGGGAGATAGGGGTGCTGTTAGATGTTAGCTGCAATCTCTTATTTACTCCAGAATGTCATCTTTCTCTCCTTGTGATTTAGACTGTCTCCTGTTAGTTCCCCTCTCCCTACAGCAGTGTTGTGGGCAGTCATGTTGCTGGCTAATAATTAGCCATCCTGCTGCCAAAGGAATGGCTTAAACTGCAATGTATCTGCAATTAGCAGAGAAGGGGCCATGACTTACCATGAATAATTACTACCTTAAGTTACTGCCTTACTACCAGAATTCCATGAGGGAGATGTTTCCTCTGGGAAGCAAACATTAGTAGGGTCACAGCTGTAGTGTAGACTGCCCACATGGTGGGTGAAAAGGCTTCCAGGTTAAGTGACTTTCTGTGCAGGGCCCGTATCAGTAAGGTAAGAAGGGGGTTGCTTCAGGAGGAGATCAAGGAGCAGGGGAGATCCAGTAATGCTGCAGGCCAGAGGTCAGAGCACAGGGCTAATGACTAATTCTCTGCCGTTCTCCAGTGGGCACAAAGGTCCCCAAACGGAGCGATTCAGCTGCTCATGGGCGGTGCAGTGAGCAATCTTTCTGGTCAGTGCAGGGGATGAGGGTTGAGGATGGGAAGAAGCAAAAGGAAGCCCAGTGGATCCTCTGCTCTGCGGATCAACTGACTAATGCCCAAAACTGATGGAGAGCACATGCTCTGCAGAGGCCTCCATGGCCCGAAGCAACCAGGGAGCATGGGGGGGTGTCTGTGCTCTTCAGAGGGAGGAGTACAGTGTCCTGCCCAAAAGGCCCTTTTACTCTGGTTTTGCACCATGGTCACATGACTTTGCCCTGCACTGTACTAAGTGATTCTTCACTCTAAAAGGGCACAGATCCAGAGGAGGCGCAGAGTTCCTTCTGCAGCTCATGTGAAGATCAGTAGGGTTTGTGTGTGCCTGGCATCTCTCAGGCTCACACCCAAATACTTGCTAGGCTGATATTTTCACAGGAGACTCTCAGAGGCACTGTGCACCTGCTTCTTCAACTGCAGTCCCTGTGAGCTGTAGATGCTCAGCACTTTTGGGGCCTGATGAACATAACTGAAATCAGTGGAGCTGTGCTGGCTTATACCAGCGGAGGGTCTAGCTGTATCTGCCTCAGGCCATGATCCTGTGACCACTGAAAGTGATGGCAAAGCTCATATGGACTTCACCAGTGTGGGACCAGGCTGAACCACAGCTGGAGACCCTGAAGTTTCGATCACTTCTGAACATTTGTCTGTAAGGTCTTGATAGGAGAGTGATTACTAGGGAAGCCAGCAAGGGTTGCACCAGCGCAGCTACACCAGAGGAGGGAATAACCCGTTGTACGCAAGCCCATGACCTTGCCCAGGCTGTGCATTTGAACTGGTACAAGGAGCATTGCAGGGTCCCCATTCTTAGTTCACTGTTAACCTATCTTTGAGATGTATACTGACTGTCTGAAACCAAACTAAGGAGAACCTTTGTGTGTGTGTGTATCTGTGTGTGGGCGTGTGTGTGCGTGCTCTGTTTTTGTCTCCTCTCCACTCCAGGTTTTCACTGGAATTTTCACAGCAGAAATGTTCCTGAAGCTCATAGCCATGGACCCCTACTATTATTTCCAAGAAGGTTGGAACATTTTTGACGGATTTATTGTCTCCCTCAGTTTAATGGAACTGGGTCTAGCAGACGTGGAAGGGCTTTCAGTGCTGCGATCTTTCCGATTGGTATTCCATATTTCTCCCATTTCTTTTTGAAGTTTCCTGTCTTGCAGCTACTAGAAAACCTTTTACATAAGTTATTCTGGTTAAAAATATTCATTGGTTCTGTTTGGAGGAGAGGGGGAGATTCTATGGTTGTGAGTTGTTGTTTCTCTCAAAAAATTTTTTTTCTTTGAGTGCTGCTCCCTATGTAAAAGTGGCAAAGAGTCCTGGGGCACCTTATAGACCAACAGACGTATTGGAGCATAAGCTTTCGTGGGTGAATACCCACTTCTTCAGATGCATGTAGTGGAAATTTCCAGAAGGCTTCCTATGTGTATTCCACACATGGATACGCATGCGCACCTTACACCCTAGTCTGGAAATGCTAACCAGCAGTGTCAATTGGCCTGCACATGCTCAGTAGGTCTCCTCTTGCTCCTGACCAAAGGTATAAGACAGTGTGGGCCAACGCCTCTCCAATTCCTTCTTACCACTGCAGGGCCTGAGCTGGAATCCTGTGTCCTTAGATTTCCCCAGCTTTTTATAGAACCAGTAAATAGATTTGTAAATAGTTTTTATACTTCTTAGCCTGTTAGTATAGTTAGGTATCATAGCTTGTTTTCCCTGGCTGGGGACTCTCACTCCCCATGGTCAGGGACTATGCCTAGAAAAACTACATCTCAATGGGACCTCAATCTCGTCCTGTCGACACTCACCAGACCACCTTTTGAACCTTTGGTGACATGTTCCATGCCTCATCTGTCCATGAAAATTGCATTTTTAGTGGCTGTTACTTCATGCAGGAGGGTCAGTGAGCCGGAAGCCATCATGGTAGACCTCCTTATACAGTTTTTCACAAGGAAAAGGTATCCCTTCACCTACATCCTAAATTTCTCCCCAAGGTTGTTCCTGAATTCCATGGCAACGAAAGTATTCACTTACCTGTCTTTTTCCCAACCCCCCATGCTTCTGCCAAAGAGAAGAGACTTCATTGCCTCAGTGTCTGATGTGCCCTGGCATTCTACCTGCAAAGAACCAAGCCTATCAGAAAGTCACCAAGACTTTTTATTTCCATAGCAGAAAGATTGCGAGGTCAAGCTCTGTCCTCTCAGCGAATCTCTAAGTGGGTCTCGGGATGCATTGAGTGCTACACGTTAGCACGCACCCCTCCTCCTGGCAGTGCTAGGAGCATAGGTCTCCTCGACAGCACAGGTCTCCTCTACAGCGTCCCTGCAGGAAGGGCCCAATACAAGACATATGTAGGGCAGCCATCTGGAGCTCCATCCACACGTTCGCGAGACTTACTCAATAGTGCAGGCCTCTACTGCGGATGCAGCAGTGGGGTCTATGGTACTGCAAGCATCTTTGCTGCTGGCTTTCAGGCACTCCCCCCCATCCCCCGCCCAAGTGTGAGCTCTACTTGTCAATCACCCATGTGTGGAAAACACATAAGGACCAGCACTTGAAGAAGAAATGGAGGTTACTTGCTGTAACTGGAGGTTGTTCGAGATGTCTGGTCCCTATCTGTATTCCATTATCCTCCTCTGCTTTGGATCCTGTTGAATTTGCAGTAACAAGAGGATCTGGACAGGTGTTTGCTCACCCTGCCTCTTATACCCTTGGTCTGGAGCACTAGGAGACCTACTGTGCATGTGCAGGGCAATGGACATTGCTTGTTAGAATTTCCAGACTCAGGCACACCCATGCATGGAATACAGGTAGGGACCACACACCTCGAAGAGCCTCCAGGTACAGTAAGTAACTTCCATTTTTAAAAACGGATCATTGAATTTTCATGAGTAAATTCTGCTGCATTCCAAAACAAGAACTTTAAAACTTGTTTTTTCCTCTGACTAAAATCCAAATGTAAAGTTTCTTTAAAATTTCAAATCATTCATTGCACTGTTTGTTATAACAGAAAGCTAATAACTTTTTTCACTTGCTAAATGAACCATTATCGAAATGGGTAAAAGGTCCTTCTGGAACAACACTGGCACCCAGTAAAATAATAATTTCAGAGACTAAGCTCTGCAAAGAGAAACATTTGTGTTATAAAAGCTTATATTGGTAATAGTCTCTGGTTTTCAGTTTTAATTTATACTAATTTTCAGTGATTTTGTCTACTTTAGTGCCTTGTAAAGAAAACATTTTCTAGGACATTATGTTTTCTAATCTTGCCTGAATTGTGTCTGTAGATATCTGAGCAGAAATTGGTGGTTTCATTAGCAATTAAATTAATGCACATGTTGACAATTTTTTTTAACATGTTGTAGGCTAGTTTCTGTTATTGTTTGCATCCTATATTTTACTAGCCTGAGTGCAATCACACATGAGATGTTGAGTGTGACCAAAACATGCACTAAGCAAAGCATGAATAGGGGGTGGGACAGGCTGTAATTTACAGTGTAAACACAATGCTGCTAATTTAATTGAAAGACCCCTTTTTGTGTGTGGGATATGTATTTCCCTCCCCCACAATATTTGTTTCTGAAGTTAAAATGGGTGTCATTCTACCAATCTTTGTTTCCAAGTTTAAACTGAACTCTGGAACCCTTGTTATTGTTTGTTGCTGGAAGTCTGTAAACGCACTCAATGCTAGTCATCCATAAAGGGTGAAGCAGACTCTGCCCTGAAGAGCTTGTGGTGTAAGAAACTGAAAAAGGTGCAAGGTGCTGAGCACCTGCAGGTCCCACTGACATCCGTGAGAGTTGTCATCTCACAGGATCTGGCCATAAGGGTTATATACAGCTCTTCTGAATTAGGACCTCATCCTGCTTGCAATTAAATCCATGGGAATGTTGCTAACTGGCTTCACTGGGAATGAGATTGGGCTCTTATATTTTAATAGTGCTGTTCAGCGCCCGGTTCTATAAGCTGTCTGTGCATGGCCCTAATATCAAAGCAATGGGAGCTCCCCAGTTAGCAGGCAGTGCAGTGGTGGCTGGTAATTGTGAATTGTCCTTTGCTGCATCTTCCTTGTCTTCTGAGGCAGATTTCTTAGGCTATGTCTACACTGGCAAGAGAAAGACAAAAGTTTTGTCTTTCGGAGGTGTAAAAAAACACACACACACCCCCGAAAGACACAAGTTTTGTCGATGACAAGCACCAGTGTGAACAGCACTGTGTCAGCAGGAGAGACAGCAAGCAGCAGCTACCCTGCGCGCCTGTTAGCAGCCCGGGTGCAATGGCACAGCCATGTCACTAAAAGATGCATACTGTAGACATAGCCATAGTCTTCTGCCACTCCCCCTCCCCAATCCATTCCCATCATTCTACATAAATGACTGAGAGTGGAAGGGTACTGAATCCACTCAGCTCTTGTATTACATGAGGTAGCTCAGCTGCACGTTGGGAGAGGAAGGATAGCTTTTAAAGGGTCCACTTCAGTGTAAGGTTCTTAGCTTGGCATTACAACAAAATAAGAAGTCCATTCTAACCTGGGCCATGTACTTTGTTCAGAGGCAGTCCTCAGTTGTTCGGAGGACTAAAAACAAACTACCAAAAGGCAGTCCAGGCTGGGTGTATGTTATGCTGTAGCAAAGTGAGATAATTGGCATGTTAGGGCCTGATTTTTCAGAAGCGTTGAGCACCAGTAGCCTCCAGCAGCTTAATCTAGAGTTAGGGGTGCTCAGAACATTCGAAAACTGAGCCCTGGCGGTAGGGCCAAATGTTTGAAAGGGCCGTGGCCCAGCATGCTCAGCCTGGTGCTAGGCATGCCCAAATGGGGCCAGATTTTCCAAAAAATTCAGTGCTCAGCAGCTTTCATTGGGACACTTAAGTTCAGCTTTTGAAAGTTTGGTCAATTATTCAGAGGCCTAATTGGAAGATGAGCTCTTTGGAAATCTGTCCCCAGTTATGAGTGCTGAGCACTCTGGGATATCAGGCCCTTCTTGTCCAGAGGGAAGACTGAAAGGCATTTGTAAAAAGATATTAACCTTTGGGCACCTGATTTCATGTGGCTCATTTCATTCATCTCTCAAGAGTTTCCAAAGCCAGAAGGAAACTTGATTTTTTTCTTTTCAAACATGTAATTAATTTGGGAGCATGAGGGGAACTGAATACAAAACATACAAGGCCAAATTCAGAGAGGTGCTGAGCATCGCCCACTCCCATTGACTTCAGTGGTAGAGGTCTGAGCTCCGCATCCCTTAGAATCTAGGACTTGTCACCATAATGATTTCTCTGTGGATTTGTCTTTTTGTTTTTGAAGAAGATGGATTAAGTGTGGTTTGTATCTCTTTGTTTTTGGTTTCTTTATGCAGCTGAGAGTCTTCAAGCTGGCGAAGTCCTGGCCCACTCTGAACATGCTGATAAAAATCATTGGTAACTCAGTGGGTGCCTTGGGAAACCTGACCTTGGTGCTGGCCATCATCGTGTTCATCTTTGCTGTGGTGGGCATGCAGCTCTTTGGCAAGAGCTACAAGGAGTGTGTCTGCAAGATCAACGTGGAGTGTGTGCTACCCCGCTGGCACATGCATGATTTCTTCCACTCCTTCCTTATTGTCTTCCGCGTGCTGTGTGGGGAGTGGATTGAGACTATGTGGGATTGTATGGAAGTGGCAGGACAGGCCATGTGCTTGATTGTCTTCATGATGGTCATGGTCATCGGGAATTTAGTGGTCAGTAAATGATTTGCTTATTGTCTTATTGATTGCTTGTGGGTGGGGAGGCAGTGGTGAGACCACAGGACTGTCACTGGGTTCTACCATGGACTTTGTGTGGCCTTGGGTACAAATCATTTAGGCCTCTAATTCTGGATGCCCAGCGTTAGAGACCCTTGTGGCTTGTGTTCAGAGGTCTGGAGCAGCTGCATGTTGGAACTTGGGGGTGCTTAGAGCTTCTGAAAATCCAGCAGTAGATTCCTAAAGTTGGGCACCCAAAGTTAAGCTCTGATCCTGTAAGGTTAAGCATGTGTATAGTTGTACTTTGTTGCATGATTGGGGTCTTAAAGCCCACTTTTGAAAATATGGACTTTAACATCTCTGCCCCCAAAGTCTGCTCTCATTTACTTTGCTGTAACTCCAGAATAGTCTGGATTTAAACCAGGGTAAATGGGAACAGAATTTGGTCCTCCATTTACCCATTTGTAAAACGGGTATAGTAAATACATGTCTGCCTCATAGGGCTGCTGTGAGTTTAATTAAATGTTTATAAAGTGCTTTGAGATCTTGTGGTGAAATTGGTCCTGCTTTATGGAATAAGAAAAACTTTAAATTTTGGATAAAAATCAGTTTTCACATCAACCATTCAAAAATGTGAATTTTCACATACTAGAGTGCAAACCCTGTTTCACAAAATTTCAGACAACCCCCCATTCCTCCTGACCTCAACCCAATTTTTAAATCCTCCAAAACAAGATTTCAAATAATTTTTTAAACAATTTTGCACCACAGCCTTATGTTTAATATATGAGGTTGTATCCAGAATTACTTCCTAAACTCCCTATGAATTAAGTAGGTAAAAGGATAAATTAGCCTTCAAATGTCAGTTCATCCTGAAATCTCTGTTAATATTTAAATTGTTGGTGATGGCATTGTGACCTCAGAGTATTATTTTACTACTTTAACCCATTTATGCTCCAATCCAGCAAAGCACTTAAGCATTTGCTTAATTTTAAGCATGTGAATAATCCTATTGAATTTGATAAGACAGCTCCATGCTTAATTGCTTTGCAGGATCAGGTGCTCATTGGGTGCCCATCACAAAAGCATCCAGCTACTCTGTTATAAAAGCCAGTGGTACAAAACTATCAGTCAAAGGATATTGACCCACACATGCTATGATGGGCTAAAGGAATCTGACAAGAAGAAAACCCAGTTTTTGCACTAAAACAAAATGATAGAGGGGAAGGAGGGGAAAGCAGGGGAAGGCCTCCAAAGTCTTTTTAAAGTCTCTAAATCAAGATTAGGAAGTTCCTTTCTAAAAACTGTGCTCTAGCTCAGTCATACAATGTAGGCTGGATGAAGATCAGTGGGTGAAATTGCATGGCTTGTTATGTGGGAGGTCAGACTAGATAACCATGATGATCCCTTCTTGCCTTAAATTCTGTGAAAGAGTTGATGGGGGCGGGAGAAAAGACCAAGGACAGACCAGTGGAAACACTCATCGTGTCTTAAAGCAGCCAGCAAGAGACTCCTCCTGGACTTCCCCTGCAAGGACTTGTGCCAGCAAAGGGTCTTGACAGAAAAAGTCGTCCTCTTCGCTTTGCTCTAGGGGCTGGAAATAGACAAGGGCAGAGACTAAGGCCACGGTGGTGACTGATCGAATCCTTATTTTTAATAGGCTCCCTTTGAGTTTGAGATGGGACCAAAAGACAATGCTAGATCTAAATCTCTTGGAACTTGGCAGCTCAGGGCCCATCTCTAGCTTTTATACCTTGACCCCCAGACACGCAATGAGCTGCATGCAGGGCTATCCTGCACAGCACCGGACCTCACTGATTCCAACCTGGTGACATGCTCCTGAGGGCTCCCATGCACGGAGCTCATTGCAGGATCGGGGCCTTGTTTTAAGTTCTGGATTTGTCAATAGATTTATCGGGTACCAGCACTGGTTTTCAGTGTGGTGCTTGTGGATTTTGTTCTGCAGCTCCCATTAGTGTCAGCGGCTCAGGTGGTTAAATGCTCATATGCAGCTTTGCTGTAATGTGTCGGCACAATGTCAGAGCTCTGCCAAACGTGATCTCTTCTCCTTCAGGTGCTGAACTTGTTCTTGGCTTTGCTGCTGAGCTCTTTCAGTGCAGATAACTTAGCAGCAACAGATGATGATGGGGAGATGAACAACCTGCAAATAGCAGTCATTCGCATCAAGCAGGGAATCGCCTGGATCAAGGTGAAAGCACATGAGTTCATGCAGGCGCATTTCAAGCAGAGAGAGGCGGATGAGGTCAAACCCTTGGACGAGTTGTATGAAAAGAAGGTGAACTGCATCGCTAACCACACAGGGGCTGATATCAACAGGGACATTGATTATCAAAAGAATGGTAATGGCACCACCAGCGGGATTGGGAGCAGTGTGGAGAAATACATCATAGATGAAGACCACATGTCCTTCATCAATAACCCCAATCTCACCGTTCGGGTACCCATTGCTGTGGGTGAGTCAGACTTTGAAAACCTCAATACAGAAGACTTCAGCAGCGATACAGATCCCAATGGCAGCAAGGAGGTAGGATGGATGCTCAATATTTGCTTTAACCATATGTCCATTTCACAGCTACAGGTAACCTCTATTGAGAGAGAAGCATTGCAAGGGAAGGAAGGCTGGTCTCATGGCTCAGGCACAGGATTTTGCAGCTGGGGAGTCTGAATTCTGTTCCCTGCTTTTGTTGTTAATTTGTACTGTGATAATGCCTAGGAGCTCCAGTCATAGATCAGGACCCCAATGTGCTAATCCCCATAAAAACACAAAATAAAAAGACAGTCCCTGCCCCAAGGAACTTACAACCCCAAATATAAGACATGAGGCAGGAAGTAGATACTGACAGACAGCTCTTCCACAGATTGTTCCAGTGTGATCTTGGGCAAGGGGGGGGCATAATTCATTCATTATAGTACAGAGATCTATAGAAGCTCTATTAAATTGAGCAGAATAGAAGACAGTCCCTGCCTTAAGGAGATTACAGTCTAATCTCTGTATTGCACTCTCCTCCTCTATAAAATAGGGATAACACTTAGATTCAAATGCCCAGCCATTATCAACATGCTTTTATTGTCCCATCAGTGATGTGTTTCTCTTGGCCTTGTGGCTAAAATCAAGTGCAGTGTTTAACATTGGGTGTGTCACCTTCAGTGAATTAAATGAAGAAGAAAAAATTTGGCTACAGGGGAACGATTTCTGGCTGATGCATAGGCCTAGGTGTCAAGGCATCTGAGTTATATTCTTGACAGTGTCATAGATTGCCCTATGTGATCTTAGGCAAGGAACAGCACCTGTCTGCCTCAGTTTCCCTGTCATTAAACTGGGAGAATACCATCAGTTCACAGGAGTTGGTGGTTAAGGATTCAGTAACTATCTTCTGTAAAGTGGTTTGTGGTCCTAACATGGAAGGTGTCACACCTTCATCACATGATGTCACATGACCTAAATGTTTATCATTGTTGTAATAATTGTTGTGTGTTAATGCACTGCCATTCAGTCACTATAATATTGCATTTTAAGGGGTAAAGATGGGTCTGAAATGTGATTCCCACCCCCACAAAAAATTGCAAAAGTTCAGTTTTGATTCCCTATCTGCACTACGATCTTTAAGACTTGAAAACTGATGACTAAATATCCTAATCAGAATGCCTGATTCATAGTTAGTGTCCCAGACCATCCTGACAACAGCCAGGAAATAGATTTTCTTTGAGGCAGATTTGGTGGGCAAATCGTTAGTTTCCTCTGCTAAGGAGGTAGATCCCATATAGAGTCGCTGTGAAAATTCATCTTTGGGTTTACCTGACTGAGGTGGTTGTTGGGGGTTCTTTTTGTGTTAAAGAAACTGGATGATACTAGCTCTTCTGAGGGCAGCACCATTGATATAAAGCCAGAGGTAGAGGAAGTCCCTGTGGAGGCACCAGAAGAATATCTGGACCCAGATGCATGCTTCACAGAAGGTGAGTTAAGCACAGATGTAGATATGGGCCTCTGAGTTGGTGTTGTGACCCATATCTAGTGTAGCTTAGCCTAGAGTTTAGGTCTGGGGCTGGATCAGTGCTAGGGATTGTTAAAGATCCCCAATTCTGCAGACATGAGTAAATTATAGTCACACTAAGGATTTGCAGGATTTAGGCCTTTGGAGACCAGGTGATGTTGCCACGGTCTAGACTGTTAACAGCTAAGGAAGGTTCTCCTTCAGGGAAAGTTGCTGGCACCAGGGATTTTGAAGCAAGAGAATTTGGGTTTAATTGCTGCTGCTGTGAGGATACTTGTGGCCACAATGTTTGACAGAGCCATCATGAAGTCATACGTGGCCACTGATTTGTTAGAATAATTCCCATAGCAAAGATATTTTAAATGGTTTGAGGTGATTTTATCACTGAGTTCTCTCTCTGTTGCTTTCTGGTGAATTGTGGCTGCCTCGCTGAGTATAATTATTTTAAACTGGCTGCTAGTAAACTGATGTAAAGCTAGGCATTCAGATACTACAGTGACAGGAATTAGCATAAGGACCTGGAAGAGGGGTGGATTGATTGGATGGATACATTTTACTTTTAACTGAAATGCAACCAGCTTAAGATTTTAGAGGAGCAAAGTCACTTTTATGCAAAGACCCTTCTGTTCTTACAATATCCTGTCTCCCACCCCCAATAAAAATCCTCTCACACTCACTCCTTTCCACGTTGCCCCCATGCAGGTTGTGTGCAGCGCTTTAAGTGCTGTCAGGTCAGTATTGAAGATGGGCTGGGCAAATCCTGGTGGATCTTGAGGAAGACCTGTTTTCTGATTGTGGAGCACAACTGGTTCGAGACTTTCATCATCTTCATGATCCTACTGAGCAGTGGAGCCCTGGTAAGTGAGTTTTGGAAGTCTGTGAAGCCAAATTACATTATACGGGGCTCTTCTCCTAGTGTACTGAGAGCTATTTATGGGCATTTTGGTGGGAAAACACCATCTCTCCTTGGAGAGGTTGGGGAATGAAGAATAAACTTGTGATTTATTGTTAATGATTTGTATTGTAATGGGCCCCCTTTGTGCTAGGTGCTATTCAAAAACCTAGCGAGACATGGTCACTGTCCTGAAGGTTTTCCAATCTAACTTAAAGTAAGACGCAAAACTAGGAGCCTTGAAATCCGAGTTCTAATCCTTGCTTTGCCACAAACTCAGTGAGTGACCATTGGTAAAACCACTTCACCTTTCTGGGCCTTAATTTGCCCATGATGCTGTTGGGATAGCAATACTTTCTTTAACATTTGTTCAGCTCCTGGAGACCTTCAGATTGGAGGCACTGTGTGGGTGCAAACTGGGATGCATGGTTCTGATGCTGCAGCCATGTTTCTAGAGGATGAAGTTCTCCTACTAGTGAAAGACCTCATCTGATTTTTTCCCAGATCTTTGATGAGAATCAGCTTCTTGGGTATTTAGTGGATTGTGCTATACAGTGAATGAAAAAATGCAGTACATTTAAGCTGCAAATTCGAGTTCAACAGAATTCCCGTGCTTCTCCAGCTTCTCTTTCGTACCTTTGGCCAGACTGCTCAGAGGGTCTCTGCACCCATAACTGGAGCTGGATTTTTTTTTATTTTTATTTTTTAAAGTGCTCAGCTTCCATTTAGGCATCAAAATAAATTGTAAGATTTTCAGAAGAGCTCAGCACACTAGATGCATGTTGAGAGCTGAGCTGTTTTGAAAATCTGTAAGCATCACAATAGGAGATACTGGGTGCTGAGCACTTTTGAAAAACTGTCCCTCAATTAGGTGCCTAAAAGGAAGCTGAGTTCCTTTGAAAATCTGTCTCCATGGGCTTGTCTACACTGGACTTCTTTGCATCCGTGCAAATGTGCTGCCTTGGTGTAAAAAATGACTTCCACTGGTGCAGCTTACCCTCATTTAAATGAGCTGCTGGTTTGTTGCACATTCAGTGGCAAATCTTATGTAATGACAAGTGGCATTTGATTATTTCCCAGGCCTTTGAGGATATTTACATAGAACAGAGAAAGACCATCCGGACCATGCTGGAGTATGCAGACAAGGTCTTCACCTACATTTTCATTCTGGAGATGTTGCTGAAGTGGTGCGCTTACGGATTCGTCAAGTTCTTCACCAACGCCTGGTGCTGGCTGGATTTCCTCATTGTGGCTGTATGTATTTTCTGCTTCTTATCTCTGGCTGGGAAAAATAAATTTTATCTGGGGGGTGGGGATGGGGGTGTAACGCTGTGCTCATGAAAAGGGTCCAATAGATGATGTATCTCACTAGGAAGTGGGTTCAATCCCATGTGTACATAGCTCTCCAAAACTGGGAAAAGTACAGAACCATCCAGACAAGCAGAGCTACTGGGGATTGTTCTATGCGACTGCGGAATTTCTACACCACAGGTCTTAATAGATACGTACAAAGGAAGGGTTTCCATCCTCTGGCTCATGCTGTGTTAGCATTGCTCTTTCTGAAGGACCTGTACATTGAGGAAGTTATAGAAAGAGTTCAGTAGAGTGTAAAGAATTTGTGCTACAAATGAACATACCCTGACTCCAGGCCAGCTGAAGCGACATCTTCTGTCTCCACATAGTTTGTATGAGACACCAATGGGAGAAAGTTCAGCAGGTGGAATCTTTCAATGCTGCCACCTGGTGACATCCATGCACACTCTGGATATTGGGTGCTCAGGCCAATGGGTCTGTTCAAAGCTTTGTAGAACTCCAGGTACTTTCAGTTCAAGTGAAGAAAACCCTTACAAGGCTAGATAAAGTTTGTCTTTATTCCTCTTTGCTAAAGAGGATCCAATACCCAGAAGAAAAGGGCTGATCCTGACATTTGGGGATATGGACAGCAACTTGGTGTAGGGTAGATGTAAGTTGATCAAAGGGGTAGACCTTCAACATGGACAAACTAGCATAGAGACCCACATAAAGAGAGCTGGTTGAAGGAATACACTGAAGGGATAAAATGAATAGGAGAAGAAGGGAAATGTTAGCTAGATAATTTATGGAATAGAAAACAACAAAAGTATTTAAAACATGATAGGTAACATTTTCAAAAGCACCTACATGACTCAGCCTTTGAAGTGCTAGAGTCCCTTCTCAGAATGGGATTTTAGGCTCCCATGTTCCTCAGGTACTTCTGAAAATTGTATTTGTGTGCATTCAAAACATCCATCTGTGAGGCAGTGTCCTAGCTGAGGGCCCAGAGGACCTGCTGCACCAATCAGCCCAGACAAATGATAGAAAATTAAGCTGAGAAAAGGCCTTTCTGAGTCTCTTGCTGGGAGATGGAAAATTCTTCTTCGAGTGATTGTTCACATCGATTCCAATCAGGGTGTGCGCACGCTGCGTGCACAGTCATTGGAAAGTTTTCCCTTAGCAGCTCCCGTCAGGTTGGCTCTGAAGCCCCCTGGAGTGGCGCCTTCATGGTGCTCAATATATAACCCTGCCAACCCAACCCAACCCCCCTTCAGTTCCTTCTTACCGTCCGTGACGGCCATTGGAACTGCGTTCACTTGCATTGCAAGTGCTTCCCTTAGTTTTCTTCTTTAGCCTGTAGTTTTCTAATCTACATCGAGCACACTAAGCCTTTCAGGAAATGGAACCAGCTGTTTCTTACTGTGGCAGACCGGATGAAAGGGCTCCCGGTCTCTTCCCAATGCATTTCTTCCTGGATCACAGACTGCATCCGCACACGCTGCAAGCTGGCTAAGGTCCCAGCCTCGGTTATTACAGTACACTTCACAAGGGCACAAGCCTAGTCAGCAGCTTTCCTGGCCCAGATCCCCATTCAGGAGATCTGCAGAGGGGCAACCTGGTCATCAGTGCATACATTTAACATTCACTATGCTATCACCCAGCATTCCAGAGATGATGCGGCATTCAGCAGAGCAATGCTCCAGTCAGCGATTCCTTAACTCCAACCCCATCTCCGGGGGAGAGCTTGGGAGTCACCTCATTGGAATTGACGTGAACAAGCACTCGAAGAAGAAAAAAATGGTTACTCACTTTCTCGTAACTGTTGTTCTTTGGAATGTGTTGTTCACATCCAGTCCACTGCTCACTCTCCTTTACCCTCTGTCGGAGTAGCTGGCAAGAAGGAACTGAAGGGGAGGGGGGCTGGGTCGGCAGGATTATATATTGAGCGCCATGAAGGTGCCACTCCAGGAGCTGCTAAGGGAAAACTTTCAGACGACCGTGCACGCAGCGCGCGCACACCGTGAACGGAATGGATGTGAAGAACACATCTCGAAGAACAACAGTTATGAGAAGGTGAGTAACTTTTTTTTTCTGAGTAGGATTTACTTGGGCTGTACAAGTCTTCTTCTGTACATGTCTTCTGCAGTTTCCACAGTATGCATCCGATGAAGTGAGCTGTAGCTCACGAAAGCTTATGCTCAAATAAATTGGTCAGTCTCTAAGGTGCCACAAGTACGCTTTTTCTTTTTGCGAATACAGACTAACACGGCTGTTACTCTGAAACCTGTCATTGTGCTGTACAATGGCTATGGGAACTCTAGAAATATCTGAGTAGATGGAAGAATTTTCCCTAGTGTGTTGGGGAACTGCTAACGTGGAGCCAAAAGTGGGATCAAATTATCTGATATTTACTGTAGTAAAATGGATATGCAAAGTTTCCTGTTTGGTCTCTGCTCACTTGGGTGCCCCTCCTCGAAACACAGGTCCTAAGTAACTCTTCTGATCTGTAAAGTCTAGTGAATATGTAATTCTCTCTTGTTTTACTATATAGTGAAACACAAGACTAAAATTAAAACTCCAAGACCAGACCCTTAACCCCTCCTAAACTGGATTGAGGAAAATGGTTGAGCAAGATTAAATGGATTAGATATACTTTAATAAGAAAAGGCCTGTAGTTAAGCTAGGTAGGAGAAAAATTGTAAAGGTTACTCTGTCCTCATGCTTCATGGTGTGAGCTAATTCCAGCTGGGGTCAGGAAGTGCAGTATTGCACAATTGGCAAATGCAGTACAGATTTGTTCACTTCTTTCAAAGCATCAGATTACCGCTAGAGTAAGGATCTCTGCCAGAGCAGATCCTTTTAAAGCCTCTAAAATGGCAGAAGTGGAGTTTGAGTTGAATCTCATGATGGGAACAGTAAATAAGAGGAAATAAGCATTTAAATATAACAATATTCTTGAATGTTATTTTTCAGGTTTGGTAGCATTGGTAAATAACCCTCCTCCTCTGATTCCTAAAGCTTGCTGGGTATACATGTGAAGAAAGAGTCTCTTTCTGGGTAATAATAATTAAGGCTTCTGCTTTTCAGTCCATCGGGATTACTTTTGGCATGTACCAATGCCCACTAAACAGCCTATTGAAGTTTCCAGTGAATTGAGTATATAATACTGAATAATGCCATTGAAGGTTGAAATATTCTTTTGTAAGTTCCACTATTTCTTGTCTTGTTCACATTAGGGACCAGGGCATTAATCTAAGGGTGAGGGGCTCAGTGAATGAAGTCTTGGTTGTTTTGTACTTGAAATGCTTGAATTACTTCTGCATTGTGAGTACATTAGAGATGATCCTAGGTCCAGACACTCCCACCCATATCCTGAAGTTTGGATCTGAAACCCCTCACTTGGTCTTTGGTGATGAAGCAGGGCTGTAGATTTTTTGATATGAGCAGCACGTACAAGAGCTGCTCCGCTTTGGAGCCATTTCTAGCCTTATTCCTTCCTCCCCACTAGGCAGAGTTACAGTAGGCATGCCTCCTAACAGCACAGCTTGCTACATCCTGTGATCATTAGAGGTTTTTACCTGCAGACCAAGGTCTCGCTCAGCACAATGAGTCAATTCTCATGGAAGCTTATAGCTGATGTCTTTTGATGCACAGATCTGTTTCTCTGAATCTAAGTTTCTAGTCAGTAGGCCAGGCTGCCTTGAGCTCATGCCCAGGGCTGACAACACTGCTGTGCAGCACTGGTTGAGATGGGTTAGAAGAACTTGAACTTAAAACTATATCGCTTCTGCTTGTCTCTGATATAAACTAAAGCTCCTATGTGAGGCATTTCTTTGACATTAGTGAAGAATCCCTGTGTGTTCTCTCATGTAAGAAAGCTCTTTCTAATGTAGGATGGGAGCAGAGGCTAAGGCAATGGACTCAGGCTCGTGTCTGAAATACCGGCACTTGCTGGAACAATGGTTCATACCCACCAGCATCAGTGCAGCCCTGCGACTTTCCAGAGTAGATAGAATGTGTTCCATGAAGGCCACTGTGAGGCTGCTTCTAAGAGTAACCAAGGGCACATGGACAAACGCTTAAAAATGTCGCCTCCTGCCCACTGCTGTGAACCAGCTGGTGATGGTCAAATCTGAAGATGGAGAAAAGCAGGAGTCCTATTCATGAGCAGTAAAATGAAATTGAATCTTCATCCTACAATGTCAGCAATCCCACTTCCTCCATGCCCCCTTACACATGCCTCAGGCAGCTCCTCCCACAGATCAGTTCAAACGCATGTCCACACGCCACGCTCATTTCGGGGCGTATTTGAAACACTGAAATGCACCTGCTTTTTCCGAGATACCAAAGATCCTGATGCTTCTGTCAGAAAAAAGTGGGCAGTGGCTGAGATTACTAAACTCTTTTCTTGCTTTAGAATGAGATTCCTTCACTCCTAAATCCCTTAACCTTGGTGTTCATCTCCCTGTACCTGGCAGGGTATGTGACTCAAGCTCAAATGTATGTGACTATGGTGAGGGAAGAGAAAAATAATGTGTCTCATACTGGGTAGAGTTACTGTTCTGGAAAACTGTGATAGACCATGACTATGTAACCCCCAGGTCCATGTATTGTGTGTCCCCTTCTATCTCTGATCTGTTGCGGCCCCCGTCTGACTCTTCACATCAGGAAGTACATACTCATACTTTCAGCTCTGACAGTCCCTGGTCCAAACCACTGCATATCAAGCAAGAAGACAGCTGTCATAAATATGACAGAGGATACATCTACACAGCAACCCCCTCCAACCCCCACCTCCCTGCAGCAGCAGTCTCAGAGCCCAGGTTAACTGACTCAGGCTCGCAGGGCTTGAGCTGCAGGGCTAAAAACAGCAGTGTAGATTTTTAGGTTTGGGCTGGAGCCAGGCTTCCACCTCACAGGGTTTCAAAGCCCAGGTTCTAGCCTGAACATCTACCCTGCTATTTTAGGCTTACATTGAGAGCCCCTCCCACCTCCCCAAGTCAGTTGACCTAGTCTCTGAGACTCACTGCTGCGGTTTTTTGCCATGTAGATGTACTCAGAGAGACTTGAATCAATAGCCCAGACCAAAGCATCCCTGAATATTGGAGCATTAGAAATCTGGTCCTGAATTTGGTTCCTTGAGCCCATTTCTAGAATGAACTGGCATCATCCTTGAAGTTCATTTACCGCTGAATGCCTCAGTTTCTCCGTGTTTTAAAGGAGGATAAAAATTCACTGTTAGGAACTGCATCCTGTTATGAGGATTAACTAGCTAATGATTGATAAGGAAAATGGCTGTGTAAGGGCTCAGTTATTTCATGATACATAATGATCAACTGACATTTTTAAATGGTTTAGATACTTGTCCTTATGTGTCTCTGTAGTGTAACAGTGGTTGATTTTAAATCACAAGCGCTCTCATGGGAGGCCGATGAATGTGTTGATGGTGAAGGACAGTTATTATACAGGACCCTATCCACATCCCAGTGTCATAAACAGGAGTCTTTCCAGTGACTGAAATGGAAATTGGATCATGTCTGTAGCGCCATTAAGTGTACATGGTACTTTACGGGCAGAAGGTCCCTTTGAATTCACAGGATAAGGACCCAGTCCTGCAAGAGGCTTAGTTGCCCTCAGCACCTACTGAGGACATTCCGTAGCTCACAGTAATGGACCCTAAGTTGTATTCTAAGCCATGATCTTTAACAAAAAAGGATGGCTTTGGGGTTAAGGCAGAGCACAGTGGACTTAGGACGTCTAGATTCTATCCCCAGCTTTATCATAGCCCCACTGTGTGACTCTGAGCAAGTCATGTCGTTATCACGTGCCTCACTTTCTCCATTTGTAAAATGGGGTGATTATACTACCCCCCCCCTCAAAGCAGGTTGTGATGCTCAGTGATGATTAAGCTCTGCATCCTTTGCAAATCTTTGTATGGAGATGCTAGAGAAGTGCTGTGTTAGCAGAACCAAAAAGTCAGGTTTAAAAGTGATAGAAATTTGAAACGGAGTGCTTTAAAGCCAAGGGTGTTCAGTATTTTATGATACCAATCCACCCCCAAAATTATTCTTATGTTTTTGATATAAAGTAATAAACTCTATTCCTCAGTGGTCACTGCTGTAGAAAGAACACCGCCACCAGGAATGAGTGAGGCGACTGCTCTTTGAATAAGCTGAGCAGGACAATTTGTGCAGTGTGTGTATTTATCTGTATTCTTTCTCACAGGTACCTTTAAAATTTGTCTGGCTTAATTTAATGGGAGCTGCTTGGACCCTGCAGACAATAAAAGGGCCAGGGTAAGGTTCTTGTCATCCGTTTGGGCTCCTCCTTCCAACAGACCCTGTTTCCGTCTGTGTGTCTCTGCCTCTCTCTCACTTCTTTTTTCCCCTTTGTTTTTTTCTTATGCCTCTCTCAACCGCATTATTTCCTTTCAGGTCGTTTCAGTCAAGTGAAGTAGGCAGCTGGTGTCATGTCTTCGGCATTTATCTATGGGGGCCCCAGACCTGCAGTCTGGGCTGGGCAATCAGTGCTAGGGGATTCGTTCTAACAGTTTGGAACCTTTTTTCTTTTTTTTTTTTCTTTTTCTTTTTGTTTTCTGTGTAGGTCTCTTTAGTCAGCCTTGTAGCTAATGCCCTGGGCTACTCGGAACTAGGTGCCATAAAGTCCCTTAGGACACTAAGAGCTTTGAGGCCTTTAAGAGCGTTGTCCAGATTTGAGGGGATGAGGGTAAGATGCCATTAGCAGCTGATCCTTCTGCATGCCTGTGGAGCGGGTTTTTTTAAGCATGCTAGAACTGATCAAACTGGTGGAAAGATAATTCCAGGCAGAATCATGATGCAGCTGCTAACTTGATCACACACCCCTGTTTATGTCCCCTTACCCTGCCCCCTGCTGCACACTCCCCTTTTAAAGAAGGGAGATACATTTAGCTGCCTCATTACATTAATTATTGGCCCAAACCACATGCCATTCGCAGAACATGTTCAACACTTGGCTGTTCTCATTTGGCCTGGCTTTTACCTCTAGCATCTGAGGGGGCTTTTCAGCTGTAACTTTTTTTATCTAGGGAGAATCACCAGGTGCAAAGAAGCAGAATTCGAACCACCTCAAATGTCTTCCCCCTCTCTCCCCCAAGGTGTTGGCCACAGTGGGAGCTGGTGGGATTTAATCAAAGGAGAATTTAAAGGGTTTATAAAAATATCTAATGTATGTAAGTCAGTAAAAAGCTGCTTCTCCTTCTTGGATAACTCAGGCCTTTAGTCCCTGCGGGAAGGAAATGGGGGAGAGCTCAGCTGTTTCAAAAAAGCTTTTGGTTTAATTCCTCTTGTTGCACCTTGTTGTTCTCAATCCAGTCTGGTGATGACTGGAAGCCTTGTCTGATAGTGAAGCTTTCCTTTCCACTCCCTCCCTTTTACCATGCTTTTATGGTACCCGGTCCTGTCACTGTGATATTAGCAACAAAGCACAAGCAAAGCATTGAACTTAACAAGCTTTCCTGAAATTGTTAGATGGCACCAATGTCATGGGGATTCCATTTGAAATGATTGCAGTGTCTTGTTACTTTGCCACTGATTTTATATTTTGGTGCTTTCCCCCCTCCTTTTGTATTGAAATAATCATGTACAAAAAAGCAAAACAATCCAACAAAACATACCTTTCTGTAGGTAAAGGGTATGTTGGACCAACGGATTTTCACTGTTGCTGTTGTGAAAAATGTTAATTTAGGTCTTTTGCACTAAAGATCAAGAAAATGCACACTGAAATTTAAAGGTATCATAGAAGAAATGGAATAAAACAGCTGGGAGATCATACTAATCTCTAAATTTACTCCAGGGCACCTCTGGAGTAACTCCGTTGGAGTCAGTGGAATTACTCTGGATTTACACGGGTGTAATTTAGAGCAAAATAATGGCCTAAGGCATATAATGGCCTGTTAAAGGAATTCTCAAATAGATCTCTAGGGCATGACATAAACTACAATATCTATAAAGAAAATCCAGTGGAAGCAATAGTTTGTACTGAGGGTAGTCGCTGTTGGCTACATACACTTACCTCAAGTTAGCTACACAACATGGCCATATCAGAGTTGTGTAGAAAGCACTAGTGAGACCTTAACTGTGCAGAAATGATCCTGATGAGGCTAATCCTATAAAAATCTTTCTGCAAATTTCTTCAATAGCACAGTCACAGTACAGCCCCTGAAAAGCCAGTCCTGCTCATCCGCCCTCAGAACCACAGTTCCAGTTTTGTTATAGTGGAATGAAATCTGTGTCAATTTAAAATAATTTAAATAGCTGAAGCAGAATTCTCGATTCCCTTTTCCCAGTGCCAAAAACATTATAATTGTTTCATGCAGTTCATGGCTGTTGGCACATACAGCAAACTCAATGGTTAAATTCACCCCATGGCTACTTATACCCCATTTATTCTCAAATGTGAGGGCTTAGTGGACATAAGCTGTGTGCTCGCATCCTGTGCAGGAGCACATTTTACCCTAAGTGCATGAAGAGGCAGCAGTGTCTTGTTGCTGGAACCAGATACAGGGAGCTGTGATTCTGCCTCTGATTTGGGAGTGACCTTGGGCAAGTCACTTAGCCCCTTGGTACAGAGCACAGAGAGGTTAAAAATACTTCACAAGGGTGTTGAGACATTTAATTACTGTTTGTAATGTGCTTTGAGATCCTTAGGTGTAAGGCATTATACAAGTGCATGGTATTAATATGAAGTATCATTACTGGAAATGGCCTTTATCTGCTAAAAACAGATTTCAGGTATTGACCATGTGTGTTTTTATCTTAACCTTGAGATGCTCGTGGGACATTCGCCTGAACTGACATTCTTGGAAAAATCCGTAGCCTTTCCACACTAAAATCCTGGCCCCATTGACATTAATGAAAAATCTCCCATTGACTTCAGTGGGGCCAGAATGTCACCCTAGCTTTGTCTACAGCTTGATACTGTTAACATCATTTGGGTCATAATAAAGGTGTGGATTAAATATCAATATCCCAAAAGCTACAAATTTAGTATATCTATCAGGATAGCCTTTAACTTAAATTCCTGTCTGAGATTCTTATAAAAAAGCATAATTTATGATTAAGATTTAAAATCTAGGTTGAGCAAAGATGGCTTGTGTGAACTACATGCTAAATACAAACAGGGTTGATTCCTCTCTGGGGCTATATCAATCTGCTTTGGGGGTGGGGGAGAGGGGTTTTCCCCCTTGCCAGTAGGGCTTTTAGTTTAATGCTAAACAGTGGCTTACAAGTTACATAGCACAATCACAAAGGGTGAAATTTGTTCCAGTGGCACAAAGCCGGAATGATCAGGCCTTGTTCATATGGAGTCTAGCAAAGTTAGGGGTCTAGAGCACCCCCTCCACAGTTGCTTCTCCAGCCGACGGGCCCCCAGGACCCCCCACTTTTGTGTACACTTCTCCAACAATGGACAAATGTGGAGTTTGTGTGGTATGAAGGGTCCTTCTGCACTAGGATGAATTTCATCCAGAAAGAACCAATTTGCACCCTACTGCAACGTCAACACAATGTTCATAATTTTTTTTTTGTCATTAGGACATGTGTTCTTTTGCTAAAGTTTAATGCTTAAAAGTGGTTTATATAACAATATAACATGGTCACAGAGACTAGTATAATCAGAAAGGAAAAAGAACTAGTATGAAGTCCATAGATAATAAATGGCATTTTAAAAAATAAATGTAAATCATGCTGGAGAGAATGATCTCCCCACCCCACCCCTCCCATTCCTACCCCCACCCACCTGGAGATTTTGAATTGTACCTGGTGTGAAATCGAGAGGTTCACAGATACTTAAAATTGGGAAACTGTTTCACTTCAGCAAAATTGATACAAAGGGGTTAACTGTAACTGTGCTACTGTGTAACTTTCTCCATTCTTTTTTGTTCTGACTTTGATATAAGTGTACCAAAACAATCCCTCCAACCCCAAGGACAGTAATTTGAAATGCCTTTGCAAAGGAAACATTACAAGTAGTTCTTTGCTTTTCTCTACTCCATAGTAATCTGCATTTTAAAGAGCTTGCTCTGCTCTTAAATTATTCAGGAAGTATGACAGTAATGCTATGAAACATGCATGCACTTTTGTCAATTGCCAATGCACAGTCTGCACACAAAAGCCATGTTCCCTCTCTCAGATTTTTTGAAAGTTGGTTATGGTTATAATGATCAGTTTAAACAGTGTGAGTTGATTCCGTTTATTCAGGTAAATGATTACAGGAAGCGAGAGCATTTGTCCAGTCAGCATGCTTACTCTACAACTTGTCAGGGGTATATCAGCATTCCAATATCTGAATAGTTGTAAAATACAGTACATGCTCACTGTGGTGTGTGCACTTAGGGGAGTAGGTAATTGGAAGGAAAGGTGTGTATTTAGCATCTATTTAAAGGATTAGTGATTAGTGATTAGTCTCAAACCCTGTTAATCGTTGCAGGGAAAACATCATTCAGTAGAAGTACATGTGTATTTAACCCTTTTACTGCCACATTGCCAAGTTGATGGGGCATCTAAAAGCTAAAATGGCATCCTGGTCAATTATTATGCTGAATTTAAATTATCTGTAGATTTTGTATGAAGTTATTGAGGGGTAGAGATGGGGCCAAACCATGAAGTTTGGAGTTGGGTCTGAATTTCTGGGATGCGAATCCAAGATTCTGGTTTCAGTCCATCTCTTTTCAGGACCAGTATAATTTTCAGTGAGCATATATAGGGAAATCCCATTGGATTACAGAGTGGAGCCACTTGAGTCAACATGAAACATGACTAAATCATTACTAATTATTTTGTTACATAAAACATTTAAACATGAAATAATGATGCAGAAAGTGATCAGTTTGAGAGTCTGATTTAGACATGTCTCACCAGGGAGGTTAGCGTTCCACCATTTGTGACTGCTGAGACACTTTGGCATTTTGCATGAAGTAACTGGTAGAAGGGACTGGGATCATTCAATATCTTAATTCCCATAAGTGATAGTAAGAGCATCCCAAGAGGGCAAATCACTGGCTTAATTGATCTTTTTTGCCAGGGAGGACTAGGAGGGCTGGTGTAGTGACTATTTACTACCTAGGGCATTTTCATTAACCGTGACTTCTTTTGAGGAACAGCTGTGATCTGGTGGTTTAAGGAAGAGCTGAAACTTGGGTTCTGTACCTGACTCTGACACCTCTATTTTGGGTAGGGAAACTGAAGCTCAGAAAGGCAAAATGACTTGCTCAGGGTCATAGCAGCCAGTTAGTGGCAGAGTCAGGAACAGAAGATCTGATTGCCAGTTCTGTGCTTAGGCCACCATCAGCATTTCAGTGATAATGAAAATGCCTTAGGAAGCAAAGAGTCACTGCAACTCCCACCCCAATTGCTTTTCTGACTCTTTGTAAAGTACCTTGAGACCTGCCTGAAAAGTGCTATGAGGAGTCCACATTGTTATTAATTGTCATATATTTATTGTTTAAACCCTGAATTACAGAATGCCTGAAACCAGTGTGTTTGACTAGAACTTTGATTAGTGTTCCTCTTTGACACTAGACAGAAGGGATGAAACAGTTTAAAATTTTAATTTACTAAAGGAACCTAATATAGGAGAATTGTAATAAAAGATTTAATATCCCACTGGCCTGGCTACGTTAAAAGCATGAGAGCTTAAATTCTGCCATGTGTTTGTCAGGAGAGGGCTTGGGGAAACACCGCTCCAAATTTCTGAGACTCAAATTAGGAAATGGTGAAAAGATGAGCTGTGACCAAACAGCACACCACTTCCTGTTTTATTTGCTGCAGTTTGGAGAAGGGAATATGGCTTTTCTTTCTTCTTGAGCTTGCAAACCTGCATGCTCAGCTATTTGCCTGAGACAACATGGTCGCCTTGCTTAGTCACAAATATTATCTTGATGTTTACACTGACTCATGGCTTAGTCTTAAGAGAACAATTTTAGGGCTCGATCCTGCTCCCATTGAAGTCAATGGCTCAGAATTCCCCACTGACCTCAGTGGGAGCAGGAAGCGGGTCTGTAAGTGACCACAGCCTTGTTTTAAAGTGGGGAATGGCCATAAGGGCCACTGGCTGATAAATTCCTCCAAATCCATGAGCAATATCCTTGGACCTGGCTTTGAGCAATTAGTCAGGTAGGAGTCTATTGATTATTGTGAAGAGAGTTTGAGCCCAGCCTCACTCAGTAACATCATTTTTTCCCTTTGGCAATCAAAATTATTTAAAAGCAATTCTTGTACACATGCACGCACAAACACACACCCACACCCACAAAAAAACAAACTCAAAGTCAGCAGATCCAAAAAGAACTCACCCTGTTTTTAAAATAAACAGGATCTCAACAGATGAACATAAGAACAGCCAGACTGGGTCAGACCAATGGTCCATCTAGCCCAGTATCCAGTGGGCTTCTAAACAGAACCTTTAGCCACTTGGAAATAATTTACTGCAAACTCTAGTCTAGACTAAAAGCCACGGACCTGTCAGTGGCCTCGCCTCCTATTCCCCCCGAAAAACAGCTGTATTAATGCTTGCTGCCTACTGTCTTCTGTTTTATACTAAAACTTTCTCCCACCCCTTCCAACGCAGGTGGTTGTCAACGCCCTGGTTGGCGCTATCCCTTCCATTATGAATGTGTTGTTGGTCTGCCTTATCTTCTGGCTGATTTTCAGCATTATGGGGGTTAACCTGTTTGCTGGGAAATACCATTACTGCTTTAACGAGACATCTGAGGAGCGCTTCGAAATAGAGATAGTTAACAACAGGACTGATTGTGAAGCACTGATGCCGCCCAACTCCACTGAGATCCGATGGAAGAACGTGAAAATTAACTTTGACAATGTTGGGGCAGGATACCTGGCGCTTCTCCAAATTGTAAGTTTTGCCTTTCCCACCTCCAAGCCCACAGTAGATGTTAGATCTTCTAACAGACCATCTCCATCTCTAGGTTTTTCCCTCTTACGCCCCTAATTCAACACTCCTGTTGACTTGAATGTACATTGGATCAGGCCATTGAGCCTCATTTTGACATAAGTTGCACATTTGGCCCTGCCTGGGGTGCCTCTAACCCTGTATTCCCAGAGAGCTCTATCCAGTCTATTTTTTAAAAAACACTTTTAATTATGCAATTTTTAAGACCCCACCAAACCCTGGATTTAATGAGGCAACAATAAAATGTCTTTAAAAATGTATATGAAGTTCTCCACTTCATGAGAAAAAGGCAGATTCAAATAAATTGCCCATAAAAATCACAGATCTGCAACAGGTGAAATTAAATAGTGCCTTATAAAGGGAAAGCAAGAGAGTAAGTGAGACCTCCCCTCATACAGTTCTGTACCACACATCTAATCTATCCAGGCTCATTTTAAATTACTTCCCTCTAAAAGAATATGTGCTTTTCTTCACTAGGCTACTTTCAAGGGCTGGATGGATATCATGTATGCAGCGGTAGATTCCAGAAAGGTAAAGCACGTTCCCCACAACCCCTCCTCCAAAATTCCACTTCTTATTCTTAAATTGTGCTTATTGTTTTTATTTATTTGCAATAGTGATCATTCGGTTGCATTTCCTGCAGTTACAGCATTATTATCCATTAAAGGATGTTGTACAGAACCTAAAAGAGTGAGGTTCACTTTAGGAGAATTACAGCACAGAAGGAGTGCAAGGGGATGTTTATTTCATCTTTGGACACGGGGTGGGGGAACACCTTGGGGAGGAAGGGGATATAGCTGCAAGGTCTGCCATTTCACGGATTCTTTGGCCACACCTTGGCTCCTATTCCAGTCCAATGGCAGGAATATTAGCTGCATAGTTGCCATGTACCCCTGCCCAGGCTTAGAGGTAAATTCTAGCTGCCTGGCACCCATGATGTACCTGCATGGTGCCAGGGTAGAGTAAACACCAATATTTTCTTTCTTTTTTCTTCTTCTTCTTCTTCTTAGTTTCAAGTAAAATGGAATTTGGAATTTAAAAAACTTTTTTTTCAGTCAGTGATGGGACCCCAAATGTGCTGTCCTCAGAACCAGAAAATGAAACTGACTATAAAAAGAAACAGAAGAAAATGACTACTCTGATTTCACTGTTTCATGTTGAGAGAAAGACAAAAAGGCAAACAGCATGAATGGGGGGGGGGGGGGAATATTTAAACTGTTTTCGTTTTCACTGTTTCCTCATCTGAGGTTCTTACTGTTTTTAAACGCAAGATATTAACCTTCACAGTGTGTGTTCCTGCCCTGATTTTATGGTTCCTCTCTGATTTGCAAATCACTGGCTATTTTATGGGCTGCACACCCAAAACTCCAGTTGAAGTTGAGGGGAGCTGTGAGTGTGTCACACTTCCAAAAATCAGGGTTTTTGGCTTTACTAATGATTCGAAGGTGGGTAATCAGGTTCATTTAAGAAGTTTGTGTATTACCATCAAAGTGTCCTCCAGTTGCACTGAAGTGGGATTTAGGCCGGTGTTCTCTTCCAGGTCACTGGAAGCTCCTTAAATCAAGAAAGATACTGAGGCTCCATAGTGAAATAAATAACTGAGTCAGAGCTGTGACTAAGCCTTCCCCCAAAGTCCTGTCTCAGTAGGCACTGGCTTCAGTGCATAAACAGGGATTGGTTCTCTGATGGCATTTTCTTGGTTGCTCCAGAGCCCTGGTTAGAAATCTGCAAAAGGGAGGGCTCCAGGACCTTAATTATAGAACCTGTGTTGGGAAGGAGATAGCTCAGGATTGGTAAAACTTTTACAGATGCTTTCTCCTCTAGGTAACCAGCTCAAGTCTGGCCCAGATTGGTTGTGATCATAAATTCATCCTATCTGATGGCTGTTTGGTGCCCCCTATGTGAAAAGATTTTGGGTGGGACTGGGTCCAGTTCCTGCTTATCACATCATAAAAAACACCATCCAAGCTGGCAGCTCGTTGCAGCCAGAAGTGTAAAGGTCTGAATGTAGGTGGAGACTGAACTCCCGTCTTCATCAGAGCTCCCCTGGGATGTGCTGATGGGGAAGCGTACTGGAGCTCGGCAGGTGAGCACATGCTGCCAGTGAGGCACGTTTCACCAGCACAAAATTAACCAAAAAAAAAAGAAAGAAAGAAAGAAAGGTAGAAAAGTTCCAGAAGAGCCACATGCCACCTTCCTAGTCTAACACAGACCCTTGAACTGAGACAACAGCTCTTTGTACCAATAGTTTATACTGTCTTTGCAATGTCTGTTTCTCTCCCCATCCCCGCATTCAGCAAGAAGAGCAACCCAAGTATGAGGACAACATCTACATGTACATCTACTTTGTAATCTTCATCATCTTTGGCTCCTTTTTCACCCTGAACTTGTTTATTGGTGTCATCATTGATAACTTCAATCAACAAAAGAAAAAGATAGGTCCACTTTTTTTATTGGTTAAAGAGGCAGATCTGGGCTATTTGCCGGACAAACAGATGAATGGATTTTAAGGTCAGGACACTCCTGCGTAATGTCACCATAGAACTTCACTCAGTGATTCCGGTGTTGAGCCTCATCGCTTAGAACTTAGCATTGCAGACTGTTTGTGACTCTTAACAACCCTTATCGACTTGCCCCCAGTGCCTGTTTAAGGAAGGGGGCTGGGCAAACAAGTTGCAATAAAACAAGAACCAACTTAATCTTTGCCCAAACTTTAGTGAGGTTCAGAAAAGTTGTAGATTCCCCTAAACACACCTTGATTTTCATTCATGTCTCTATTTTGTAGTCATGTCTTTATTTCAGACCTTCAATTCCAGCAAAGTACTACACTTAGGAGAGAAAAATCAATGGCACAAATACAGAGTGGAGAATAACTGGCTAGGCAACAGTACTGCAGAAAGGGATGGGGTGGCTTATAGTGGATCGATCGCAAACTGACTATGAGTTGATAGTGTGGTGCTCTGTTCAACACTGGCGAGGCCTGATCTAGAGAACCGTGCCCAGTTTTAGGCACCGCACTTGAAGAAAGATGTGAACTAATTGGAGAGAGTCCAGAGGAGAATGACAAAAATGACGTTAGAAAACCTGACCTATGAGGAAAGGTTGAAAGAATTGGGCATGCTTAGTCTAGAGAAAGCTGGCTGGGATCATAATGTTCAAATATGTAAAAGGTTGTTATAGAGAGGACAGTCATCAATTGTTCTCCATATCTACTGAGGATAGAACAAGAAGTAATCAGCTCAGTTTGCAGAGAGATTTAGGCTAGATATGAGGAAAAACTTATTATAGGATAAACACTGGAACAGGCCACCTAGGGAGCTTGTGGAATTCCTGTCCTTTGAGATTTTTAAGAACAGGTTAGACAAACACCTGTCAGGGATGGTCTAGATGTAGTTAATCCTGCCTCATTTTGGGGGATAGACAATATGACTTCTTGAGGTCCCTTCCAGCCCTATATTTCTATGAGTCTGTGAAATTCCATAAGAGAATGGAAGTGGGATATGCCAGAAGTCTCGGCCACTCTCTGCCTCTTCTTTCACTCCAAGCCTGAAGTGAGGGAGTTGCACCGGTAACGCAGCCACCAAACTGTGTTAGCAGATGGTCTGCGAGCCAGGGTAATTTGCAGAATAACTTCAATAATTTTGGAATCTGGTGCAAATTATTTCTATCTAAATAAGAAAGTTTGCCCCACAGCATGTAGCCTAGTAGCTGAGCCTGTCCTGTGATCCCTTTCCCTTAATGTGCATGGACTGATTATAACCAGCTTTCTTTTTTACTTCTCCTCTTTTACTTTGGAGGTCAGGATATCTTCATGACAGAAGAACAAAAGAAATACTACAATGCCATGAAAAAACTTGGCTCAAAGAAACCTCAGAAACCTATTCCCCGGCCTCTGGTAAGTGTGTGATTTAACAGGAGCTAGAGGAACAATAACTATGGGGCCAATTTTCAACAGTGCTGAGCCCCCTCATACCAGTGCCCATTGCTTTGAAGATTCACTCTAGACTCCACAATGCCTTGTTATACTGCAGGTGTAATAATCCGAGAAAGTCATTGTGTGTCGTACTTGATTTGCCAGCTGGAGCCAGTCCTGAGAGTTTAGCATCTGAGAGGAAGGATGGCTCCGTAGTTATAATGCTAGCCTAAGGTTCAGGAGACCTGAGTTCAATTACTTGTTTAACCACAGCCTTCCAGTGGGACCTTGGGCAGGTCACACTGGTCTCTCAGTGCCTCTGCTCCCCATCTCTAAATGTGGATAATAGCACTGGCCTTCAAGGCTCTCAGCAAAGAGCATGGATATGCTGGTGATAAGATTTGGGCAGCCTGTAGCACTGGTAATTACATTTCATTACAAGTACTTTGTACTGGGCAAACTGGCTGAAACTATAGTAAAGAACAAAATTGTCAGATACATAGATGAACATAATTGGTTGGGGAAGAGTCAACATGGTTTTTGTAAAGAGAAATCATGCCTCACCAATCGACTAGAATTCTTTGAGGGGGGTCAACAAGCACGTGGACAAGGGGGATCCAGTGGATATAGTGTATTTTCAGAAAGCCTTCACCAAAGGCTCTTAAGCAAAGTTAAGTTATGAGATAAGAGGAAAGGTCCTCTCATGGATTGGTAACTGCTTAAAATGTAGAAAACAAAGGGTAGGAATAAATGGTCAGTTTTCAGAATGGAAAGAGTAAATAGTGGTGTCCCCCAGGAGTCTGTACTGGGCCCAGCCCTATTCAACATATTCATAAATGATCTGGAAAAAGGGGTAAACAGTGAGGTGGTAAAATTTGCGGATGATAAAAAACTACTCAAGATAGTTCAGTCCCAAGCAGACTGCAAAGAGCTACAAAGGAACCTCACAAAACTGGGTGACTGGGCAACAAAATGGCAGATGAAATTCAATGTTGATAAATGCAAAGTAATGCACATTGGAAAACATAATCCCAATGACACATATAAAATGATGGAGTCTAAATTAGCTGTTACTACTCAAGAAAGAGATATTGGAGTCATTGTGGATAGTTCTCTGAAAACATCCACTCAATGCACAACGGCAGTCAAAAAAGCAAACAATGTTGGGAATCATTAAGAAAGGGATAGATAATAAGGCAGAAAATATCATATTGCCTCAATATAAATACATGGTACGCCCACATCTTGAATACTGCGTGCAGATGTGGTCACCTCATCTCAAAAAAGATATACTGGAATTGGAAAAGGTTCAGAAAAGGGCAACAAAAATGATTGGGTATGGAATGGCTGCCATCTGAGGAGAGATTAATAAAACTTGGACTCTTCAGCTTGGAAAAAAGCCAACTAAGGGGGGATCTGATAGAGATCTATAAAATCATGGCTGGTGTGGAGAAAGTAAATAAGGACGTGTTATTTACTCCTTCTCATAACACAAGAACTAGGGGTCACCAAATGAAATTAATAGGCAGCAGGTATAAAACAAAAGGAAGTATTTTTTTTTCACACAACGCACATTCAACCTGTGGAACTCCTTGCCAGAGGATGTTGTGAAGGCTAAAACTATAACAGTGTTCAAAAAAGAACTAGATAAATTTATGGAGGATAGGTCCATCAATGGCTATTAGCCAGGATGGGCAGGGATGATGTCCCTAGCCTCTTTTGCCAGAAGTTGGGAATGGGCGACGGGATGGATCACTTGATGATCACCTGTTCCGGTCATTCCCTCTGGGGCACCTGGCATTGGCCACTGTCGGAAGACAGGATACCGAGCTAGATGGACCTTTATTCTGATCCAATATGACTGTTCTTATGCTTTGGGGTGTTAATTGATCACATGTTGGACAGCCACCATTTTCTCTCCAGTCTGAAGACACTGGAATAGTGAGTAGGGCCTCCCAAAAGAGGGATACTAGGCTTGGTAGATCAGGGGCAAATTGTGTCCCTTTATCTAACGGGTAGATTTGTTTGTTAGCAGTCCTTGCTAAACCTTTCCTCTCTGTGTTCCCGCCCCGCCCCATCCATGGCTCCTCTCCTGTAATGCAGAACAGCATCCAAGGCGCTGTCTTTGACCTTGTCACTCAGCAAGCATTCGATATCATCATCATGATGCTCATCTGCTTCAACATGGTGACCATGATGGTAGAAACAGACACACAGAGTAGCCAGATGTCAGACATCCTCTGGTGGATCAACCTGGTGTTCGTCATCCTCTTCACCTGTGAGTGCGTGCTGAAGATGTTTGCCTTGCGGCACTATTATTTCACCATTGGATGGAACATTTTTGACTTCGTGGTCGTGATTCTGTCCGTCGTGGGTAAGTGGAGTAGCTAGTGCAGCAGCTTGTGGGGTGCAGTGCCCTTCCTGACACGCACGCTGGATAAGCTGCCTTCACTAGAAGTAGGTGTCTGCAGGATGGTGTGAAATGGAATGTGGCCCAGCAATTAAAGAGGCAGGACTCCTGAGTTTTATTTCTAGCTCTGGGAGGAGAACATGATCTAGTAGTTAAAGCAAAAGGTTGAAAGTCAAGACTCTGGTGTTTCCCTGCTGTGCCACTCACTCACTGCGTAAAACTGGGTAAAACACTTTTCCACATCTCACTTTCTCACATCTAAAACAGGAATATAACCTGCTTCGCAGGGGTATTACAAGGCTTAAATAACTAATGCTTATAAACCACTCTGAGACTGGAATGCTCTGGTGCCTCTCGACAAAGTGTTGTTCGTTTTTTGTCCTCAATCAATGAGGGATTTACAACTTCTGGATTCCAGTTTGGGTTGGAATTAATGGCTGAAACTGGGCTCCTGGAATTCACTTTTTGTTTTCAGATTTGTGTTTCTTTTATGGCAAATGCATAAATTACTCCAGAGTCACTTGAAAGATGGCATTCACCCTACTGGAAAAGTCCCCATATCTTTGGACTAACCTGGCTCAAAGCATAGAGACTGTCCTTCAGCCCCAAATTGGAGCCAGCTTTGTCTCTGACTCTTGGGTCCAGTTCCATTGATTTCGATGAAAGTTAGGAGCCTAAATACTTTTGAGGCTCCGGGCCTTAGAATGTGGGCCCACAGGCTAATACAATATGAGCTCTACATAGTTCCTCTTCTCCAGATCTCTTTCACTGAGTGCGATTAATAATTATTGTCCCTTAAGATCCAGGGGATGAACAACCAAGGAAACACAAGTCCAAATGCCTTCATGCCCTTGAAACTTAAAATCCCAAGAAGAGGTGCCAGTTTCAGGTCCTAGCTGCCTAAATTTGGGCACCCAAAAATTGAGGCACACACAGAATGAGAGGTCCCTTGTGGAAGTTTGAGCCAGCTTTTCTATGCTAGCACTGCCAGTGTTCCCTTGCCTGGTTTAAACTGGGTTATAACATCTTCCCCCTGCCCTCTTCTTTAGGAATGTTCCTGGCTGATCTCATTGAGAAGTACTTTGTGTCGCCCACTCTCTTCCGAGTCATCCGACTGGCCCGTATTGGCCGCATCCTGCGTCTGATCAAAGGGGCCAAGGGGATCCGCACCCTGCTTTTTGCCTTAATGATGTCCTTGCCTGCCTTGTTCAACATCGGCCTCTTGCTGTTCCTGGTCATGTTTATCTTCTCCATCTTTGGCATGTCGAACTTCGCCTACGTAAAGCACGAGGCCGGCATAGACGACATGTTCAACTTTGAGACCTTCGGCAACAGCATGATCTGTTTGTTCCAGATCACCACCTCGGCTGGCTGGGATGGCTTGCTGTTGCCTATCCTGAACCGGCCGCCGGACTGCGACCTAGATAAGGAGCACCCCGGGAGCAGCTTCAAGGGAGATTGTGGTAACCCCTCCGTGGGGATCTTTTTCTTCGTCAGCTACATCATCATCTCCTTTCTGATCGTAGTGAACATGTACATCGCCATCATTCTGGAGAACTTCAGTGTAGCCACGGAGGAGAGTGCTGACCCGCTGAGCGAGGACGACTTTGAAACCTTCTATGAGATCTGGGAGAAGTTTGACCCTGATGCCACACAGTTCATTGAGTACTGCAAGCTGGCAGACTTTGCCGATGCTTTGGAGCACCCACTCCGTGTCCCTAAGCCTAACACTATCGAACTCATCGCCATGGACTTGCCTATGGTAAGCGGGGACAGGATCCACTGCCTGGACATCCTGTTTGCCTTCACCAAGCGTGTGCTGGGGGACAGTGGGGAGCTGGACATCCTGAGGCAGCAGATGGAGGAAAGGTTTGTGGCGTCTAACCCTTCCAAAGTGTCTTACGAGCCCATCACGACCACACTCCGGCGCAAGCAGGAAGATGTCTCGGCAGTGGTTATCCAACGGGCTTACAGGGTTCGCTTAGCAAAACGGGGCTTTATTTGCCGGAAGTCTGCCTCTACTAAGCTGGAAAATGGAGGAACAAATCGGGAGAAAAAAGAAGGCACCCCATCCACTGCATCCCTCCCTTCCTATGACAGTGTAACTAAACCTGAAAAGGAGAAACAGCTGCGGGTGGAGGAAGGAAGACGAGAACGAGCAAAAAGACAAAAAGATTTCAAGGAGTCCAAGTGTTGAGACAAACAAAAATACGTTGTACAAATTTTTAAAAATTTGCAAGTGAAAAGATTGTTTACAAACGTCACAAAATATATCAATACAGAACAGCTAAGGAGACACCTGAAGATCTTATACCAAACAGTCTGCTTATTGTGTGACAAAGTTGCATCTAAAAGCAGTGACCTACCACCTGTTTAAAGGACCCTTCTAAATGAACATTTAAAAAGGAAAAAAAGGATTTTCTGTTTGGGCAGGTGGCTACTGCATGTTCCACATCTATCAATGCAACTTGGGACAAACAAGCAAAATAAAAAACACACACACACACTAAAAAACAAAACCCGCTGCTTGGATTAATATATCTCCCAAAGCAGCCAAAAATTGATTATTTTCTCATTGTGTTGATTTATCAAAAGAAAACCTAGAAGTCACAATGTTAAAGGGTTTGTTTGTTCATGCAAAACTAATTTGCATTCCTGCATTTAGTTAAGCAGAAAAAAAAAATAAAAAAAAAAAGGCAAAATAAAAACTGAACAAAAAAAGAAACAAAAAACCACCCATTTAGCCCATGCCATTTGATTGTCATAGTTTATTTGGTATTTATTATCTGCATACTACTTTCTACATGGGCTTTACTTGGTTTGGGAGATGGGGTAATCAGGTATCTTCAGCCTGGAAACTTGCTCCGGCTGATTAAAAAAAAAATTGTGCTTGTTCAATGCATAGAAATGATTTGCATGATGGCATGCTGTGACCAGGAACCATGCATGAAGAATCATTAAACCACAAGACACTCAATACTCTTCCACAACAGTTGGTTAAGCCATAAGTTCGAGGCACTCCACTGACTACCACACACTGTATTTGGAGGTTAACCTTAAATATAATCATGCCCTTCACTAATATTTACCAATTTGTAACAATTTCTTTCATACACCCTCCAGCAGGAAAAAAATGAAACAAGCAGATGAAATCTGTGTGTGTGTGTGTGTATGTGTGTATGTATGTTTAACAACCTGTCTTTTCCATACAGCCATCTTTTGCACATTTAAACAAATAATCATACAAGAAAGAAAAACCTAAATATTGCTCTGGATCCTATTTGAGGGGGGAATATATAATATTCAAGAATGGCACTGCAAAACCAAAATCTAGGGCTTAAAAAATACCAGTCAACAAGGTCATTTGTGTCCTGTAATATTAATTATTGTTCAGCCGCCCTTCCTAGTGTAGAGAGAACAGTGCTGTGTACGAAATAGCATATTGTCTCTGCAGGTGCAATTTTGGGAACTTGGATAAATCTATCTTAAATGGGGGACGTGTAACTCACGGAGTTTAATTGTGTCCCATGTTCATCAGAGTTGTTGCTTTCTTGGGGTGGCAGCGGGGGCTGAGACCCAGATGGATTTGTGAAACTCTGAAGTCGTCTTTATATTCTTCCATCATTACTACTTTTTGAAGCTTGCACTTTGATGCTTCATGGTTTTCCTTGCTTCTGTAGCCACAAGGTTTTTAAACAAAGTGGAACACATTACAGTTGACAATAAAATAGCAATGTGACATGGGGCACGGTGCTGAAGGCCAGGTGTCTGATGCCTTCACCTTCTTTCTGTTTCATACATTATCATACTGTAGTAACTAAAAGGTCCTGCAGATTTGGGTAGACGCTAGAGCTGCCTCTCAACTAGTCTAATCGCTGAGTGGTAAATCATTCTGTGGGAATGTCACCAGGAAAGCTCAGACTTTTGTGTTTCTTCGTAAGGGTATGAGACCCTTTAATATTCTGTTTCAGTGTCCTCCTCAATCAATAAGTCAGCTGTCAGTCACCAATCTAGGCGATATTTTCTTCAAAGCAGCCTTGGGGAATAGATCTGATGCATCCGATGCACGCTCCGAAAGCTCATGCTCAGATAAATTGGTTAGTCTCTAAGGTGCCACGAGTCCTCCTGTTCTCTTTGCCAGTGGGAAAAGGTAGCCATGCACGGAAACAAGACCGCTTTCCAGCTGCCGCTTGTGTGCTGGTTCTACTGTTGGTGCCATGTTACGTTTTGAAGGGGGGGATTATGCCATTACTGCATTGAACCTGTAATGCAGAATGAAGAGAAACAGGATGACTGAACGTAGGCCAAAGAAAATGTATCTTTAAAAGGGCAAAAATAAGACAGCAGAACTTTTTAGATGACAGGAGGCAGTTTGGTTTGTATAATCTCTCAACCCAGATGACAGGTGTCACTTAAAAAAACAAACGCTATTTGGCAGACATCTGTGCCAAGCTGGACGGTATAAATGCATAGTTTAGCCATTATGATGTCAGTGGAGGAGTTCTTCTGTACTGGTGAACACAACAAAGGACCATTTCAACCCTGTTAGATTTACCCCACTTACTACTAGGCTATGGTGTATAATAAAGATGAAAACTACATACATATGTACAGGCTACATTGTAAACAGCACAAAAAAAAGCTGAAAAGTGTGGTTGAACTTTTTAAGAAAATATTATAAATACTGTAATATATCCGTTTATTTTATCGGCATGCCTTTTTGTAAATACAAGAATTAAATAGAACGGCGTCTGGCTTATGCCATTGTCCATGTTTGTTTTTAATTTTTAAAATATTTTCCTTAGATTTTTAGATGTTTGTCAGCCAATGTACATTCCCTACCCACCCCCCAAAACAACAACCTTACACCCCAAAAAGAAAAGCTTTAGTGCAGATTATCTTTACAATCACAAAAATATTTTTTTGTTATTCCAATGTGCAATAAGTTCTCTGATCATTTCTATGCAAGATTTGGCTAAACTACATGATTGTTCTTTAAGTTGGGCTATCAATCTGTCTGTGATGGATGGTACATTTGCTGCTCATGCTGGTAACTTCACGGAGCTACTGGCATCATTTTAAGTAAGACTTCCCTGCGATCTCTCTCTCAGTTTTTAACCGTTAAACTATTTATCAGTCTCTGTTAAATACAAAGGTCATCCTAAACCATCAGTCTTGCTGAAAAATAAAACGAATAATTTCTCCAGCTGTTCAGGGACAGCAGAGTCCATCCTCCTATTCAACTGAAAAATTCATTTTTTTTTTTTTTAATTTCCTTTTTGTAGCAAATATTCCTCAGCCACAGTTCACAGGGTGCTGAGAGAATTGGTCTTCATCTTTGGGAACCTTCACACAGTGAGGCTGAGGCTGGAAAGGAAGCTTTGGTCTGAAATAAAGTGGTCAGGATAGCTTCATGCACCATATCATTGCATAGAAATGCAGATACAGTGTGTGTGTGTGTTTTGTTTGGGGGGGTTTTGTAGTAAGGTCCTTGATGCGGAATTTTTTATTCCCGATTCAGGGTTGTGGGAATAAAACAGTAGGCCGCTGTTGGATTAAAATGCCAGAAGAGTGAGGCTGTAACAAGTGGTCGTCCCTCCCGCCCCCACAGCATACGTAAAATCCTCCATGCTGTTTTGGTTCATTTATTACCCTGTTCTTAAAAGGGGCTGGGGAGGGGGAAAAGAAATACCAGTTCAAGCTGCTTCACTCACTTTTCTGGTCTATTTTCACTTTTAAAAAAAAAACCAAACGAACGCTCATGTGGAAGAATAAGAAAAAAACAAAAAACCATGAGCTGCCATCGTAGAGGCCGCACCCAAGCTTTTGCATTATTTAGTTTTCTGCTGCAACAAATATTAAAGCTGTACCAGACCAATGCTGAAGATCAGGGTATTAGAGATTGCATGGTGGCTCATCCTGCTCTAACCCAAACATGATTAAAAATCACATTACTATAATCCAAAAGAAAAATGAAATAAACAAGGTAAGAGTGTCTTAGTGTCCATTTATTTGACTGGTTTCCACCTCCTCGCCCCCATTCTTGCTGGGTTCTTTTTTTTTTTTTTTAAATATATAAAAGTGGCATGAGTAAGACCTAACTTGTGTTGCAGGGGAAGCTCGTGGAAATGTTTTTGTTCTTGTTTTTAGTGTTCACCGTGAGAGATTTGTGGCCTTTAGTGGCTCTTTGCTGGTATCTAGCAGACAGGTCGGTCTTAGTGCCAATCCGCAGCCCCTTGGGATTTTCATCAGAGTTTAGTGCTGTAATTGGGCACAGTGACTGCAGCATGTTGACAGCAGCTGAGCAGGTTGGTGGCCTTTGTGAGGTCAAGTGGTGGCTGTTCATTAATATCTTAGTGAATGCATCACGAAAAACACCATCAAAACTGGCCCCTGTTCACTGGTAGGCTCAACACAAGCCACAGATTGGAGGCTACGCAGCCTGCAGTCCCCTCTTGCTCCTGGGTGTACGGAACGCTTGCTCCGCTGCTCACATGCGCTCGATCTGCTCTGTCGATGTGCAAGGAACTTAAGTCTGCAGCACTCTCCCTCCAATTCATTCACTTTTAAAGACATATGCCAAAATTGTACAGACTACGTGAAATCCGCCAGCATACCTGACATCCTCAACACACCCAGCAAGGCTCGTGCAGTGTGGCTGCAGGAGCAGCAGAAGGGCGAGAACCCAGATGCCCCTGTCACTTGAGAAACTCCAGTAAGGGTAAGCCATAGGGGGCCTTTGAGGCAGCTGACCATTGCTGAATCCATTCAGTGGTGCGCAGTAGGACTCATATGCTGTCGCCTCTTTGTTCGCTTCCCTTTGTACACTTTTTTCTTTCCAATTAAAGGGTGAGATAGTGCATTAGCTTCATGTGCTAGTTATGTCTCTCTGGAGGCCAGGGTCAAAGTGGTTGCAAGTCAAAATGGTTGCAAGACAAATCAGGTGTTGGTTTAAAAGAGGTCTCCCTAGAAGAGGTTCCCCCCACCCAAATGGCAAAGAACAATAACCAACCCAACCCCTGTACCCAGAATGCTAATTCCCTAACATTGGTCAGTATCTGGTCACGAAAGCCTGATCCTGGACTAGCTGTGGGTACTGCAAGCCAGGATTGTGGGGCACTGCCTGAACTTGGTGGGAGGCTTGCCCAAGATATGGCTGTGGTGTACTGCACCGGGATTTGACAGTCACTTTAAAAAAAGAATGCTAAACAAATGACCAAAAAGTTAAAGGAGGAGAAAAATTTGCCCTTTGCAAGTTTGTTGCATGTTGTGATTTTATAGAGAGGTGCGTGTGTGTATGTGTGTGCGCGTATGGAGGGTGTATTCTGCATAGATGAGGTGAGGAGTGGTGTCCAGTGGCTAGAGCAGGAGACTGGGAAACAGGACTCCTGGGTTCTATTTTCAGCTCTACCACTGACATGTTGTGTGACCTTGGACAAATCACTTAACCTCTCTGTGCCTCAGTTGTACCCATCTGTCAAATGGGTGTATAATTACCTACCTCACAGGGGTGTTGTGAGGCTCAATTAGTTAACATTTGTAAAGTGCTTTGAGATTCACAGCTGCAAGTGCTATTTAGATGTGCACAGTAGAATCATGGACTAAGGGGGAAATGAGATGGTACCATAAATGCTGCTAAATGAGTCATTTGTAAACTGCACTGCTCCAGTGAACCCAGCTTCTCAACAACAATCAGGGCAAAGATTTTCTTCCTTTTACTTTGCTTATGTGACTTGTTCTGGATCCTGTGTTGATTTCCCCCCCCTCCCGCCCCCATGCTGTATTAGCCTTCCCCTTTCACCCTCCCTAGATTTTGTTCACTGTTCTGTTTTACATGAAGAAAGGAGGAGGAAATAATTGGTGTTTGGGGGATAGGGGTGGTGAAAGAATGTAAAAACACAGTGGGCTGGAAGTCTGAGAGTCTGACTTTTGATTTCCTTTGTACTGTACATCTTTTTACTTTGGAATTTGCAATAAAAAGGTATGTCCATCTTGTTTTAACCTCTTCTCTTGCATGACCTGTCACCCTTCAGGGGCTGGCATGGCTCTGCATAACCAACACCCCAGAGAAACTTGGAGTTTACATGGTGCTCACTGCTGCAGATTAGGGGAAAAGCTGGATGTCCCTTAAAATGGGTTGCAGGAGGAAGTGCTTATAGGCCCATGCCAAAGAGGGTGTGCTCTGCCCCTAAGCTGCCAAAATGTCCCATTCCCCCCCCCCAGTTGCATTGTCGTCAAACCCCGCCAGAGGCTCTGAGCCCTTTGCAGGATCAGGTTCCAACTGGCTTCATGTACTTTATTTGAACACACAGGCACTGTGGGCCACGAGATAGATCTGGCAGTCGGCTGTGGCTGTGATAGACTCCGTGCCTGGCTCTCCTGCTGGACTGCTGTGGGACCTTGGCTCTGTCACTGCCCCCGGCTGTGCCTCTGTTTCCCCCTTCTTTGAGCGGGCTTAATGAGCCTGACTTCCTGTGTCATGAAGCACCGTGGGCACGATCCTGGCAGCCATGAAAGTCAAGGGGTCAGGGTTAGTTTGGGGTTTTAAAAATAAATAATCTTTGCTTCAAACCTGCACTGAGCTACCCCAATTCCCGTCATGAAGAAAAGCCTCTGTGGTTACACCCCTAAGAACAGCAGCCCCCCTGCCTCCTGCACAGGGCCACACCGGGGCCGTTCTGCTCCACAGGCCGGGTGAAACCCCTGTGTTTTACTCAGTCTGGTGCAGTAGAGGGGGATTAGGTGGTGAATGGCAACTGGTGCCTTTGGCAGTCACCCCCTCTCCCTCCACACGCACCCAGCGTTGCAAGTGGCGGGTCAGAGGGAGGGTGCATGAGGAGGGATAGGCTTGTGGCTGGAAGGTTTCTTGCTCTGACAATTCCAAGTTGGCTCCACAGCCCCCCCCCTTCGCAGCACGCATGTTGGCCACGTGGCCGAAAAGGATTGAGGTGCCTCAGCCCTCCGAGGGGGGCCAACAGAGGGCTTGCACTGCTGCTGGGACTGTTCACCGTCCGCGAGCGCTTCCTTTTTTGTGCACTTACACCCACACGCCCGCTTGGCCGCCCTGTCCCCACGGCTGTGGTTTTACGATTGGTTCTGGGCGATTTCTGGTCATTAACAGGAGGTAAGAGCTGGTTATGATTTTTTTTTTTAAATGTTCTTAAGGACACAATTCCTGCTACGACTTGCAGGGTGAGGAGGGTTGGTTTGTTTTTTTTTTTTTAACTTTCAGCTCCAGTCGTTTCCCAGGTGCCTGGGATGGTTATTACACCCATGTTGTTGCAATACGCTGTGCCGCTTTCCTGTCAATCCAAGGCGGGGGGAGAGCGGCAGGGACAGGGCTGGCGGCAGCCCCCTTGCACGGGCTTGGTAGGGCATGGCTGCACGGGGGTAGTTTAGTGCCTAAGGCACAATGAGGAGCAGTCTAATTCAGCCCACACAGCAGAGGCGGGCGGGCCGCAGGCAGGGTCGGCTCTAGGTTTTTGCTGCCCCGAGGTGGGGCTGGGGCTCGCGGGTGGCGCTAACAGCGGAGGGAGTGATGTCCCCTTCTCCCAGTGCCTGCAGGGGCTTCCCCACACACACACACCTGCCCGCGCAGAGAAGCCTCCATGGAAAGGGTGGCACAAGGCCGCGCAGCAGCCGGTGCGCACATGAGGTGGGGCAGCCCCAGCTCCCCGGCAGGACTCGCCCTCTCCTCCCCAGGTTGCATCTGGGCCCTGGCTGCTCAGCAGCCGGTGGGGGGCTTCCCCTTCCCGCTGCGGCCGGGGGCGTGGTGCCCTCGCCCCGTCTAAGTGGTGCAGCTCCGAGAGCGCAACTGCCCTGAACAGAAAGGACGGCCGGAAAGCCCCCCCTGGAAATGTGCGGCCCCCAAGCACGTGCCTGCTTAGCTGGTGCTGAGAGCTGGTCCTGGCTGCAGACACACCCCCGAGGGGAGAAAACTAGAACTAAGAAGCAGCAAAGAACAGTAAGGGGGAAAGAGCCACTGGGACCTAATTCAAAACCAGCTTGTACGGGCTATGGACACTGCACGCAGCCGCCAAACAGCCAGAAACCCAGCCAGCTGAGATGGGCAAAGCCAGAAGCAAGAGTCACTTTGTCCTAGCCTCTAGCAAGGGAATAAAGCAAGTCCTGCTAGCTCAGGCAGCAAACCTACGGCTCTCGCTATATGCAGGGATGGAATTAATGTTAATGCTAAATGGTCGCGGTGCTGAACTCAAATGTCCATAGCTAGAAAAACAAAAGCTGATTGAAATCACCCTCCCCAAAACACCTGCAATCTTCCCACTCTGTTTTTTCCTGCTTTGTCACGGGTGAGGCCAGGGTCTGAGGCACATGGAGAGCTGACGTGTGCGCTGAGGCCGGAGGGTCCTAAGGGAGTTCAGTGCACACCACCCGCGATTGCCTTCGTGGGGCAGGGGAAGTGGGAAGAGGTAGGGGGAGCCTTTGCATGACCATAGTTTTGTCCACTCTTTATCCACCAGATGGTAAAAGTTCTGCACCCCGCCACTTTGAACGTCAACCTTACTATGCAGGGAGAGGTCAGAGGCCCCGCTCCAAAGCCTCAGGCCGGCAGTTATAGGAGCACTGCTAAGTCATGGCAGGAGGGAGCGTATGAAAGGCTACAGCAGTTACGCATCTGTCCAAGGCAGGGCAGGGGGCCAGCCTAGTCAGTCCGGTATGGGGCAGATGCTCAGCTGGTGGGAACTGGCATCGATCCATTAATAGGCTGACCCTCCAGCCTGTGCTCATTGCCCTTACTGAGCTGAATGGCAGGGGAAAGCCAGTGCCTCCAAGTGCTTATGAGCTCACTGGTGTCACAGGGCACACACGATGTACAGGGAAGGATTTAGTCCACTGAATAGCACTCTAAGCCATTCACGCCAGTAGTTCAAAGCTGGAACAGGTGCTTGTCCTGCTGACAGCCCACATGGGAGCTGCAGCCATGAACGAGGGCCCCTGTCAGGGGAAAGCACTGTCTGGGACTTGCAGGAAACCCACCAGTGCAGCTTATTCAGCAAGGCTGTGCCTTTTCACCTTGTTACAGGAGCCCCACACCATTTGATCTGGTTTGGAAGCTGCTCTGCCTTGTCCGAAGCAGCTCAAGGAAACTTCTGTGACCCTGGGCATGTGGTCAGCATGTTATTTACTCACTGATTGAAAACACCTAAAAAAAAAAAGCCTGCAGCGAACACTGTACCCTGGGGGAAGAGTGAAAATGAGCCCCCAGCTCAGGTGCCCTTGCCAAGGCCTGCGCCAGCCAGGGAGAGAGCTCACTGTGTGCGGTTCAGGTGGGCCCAGAGACCAGCTTCCCAACAACATTCAAGGGATTTGGTTCCGGACTCACAGCAAGAGTGAACTGCAAAGCTAGGGTCCCCCTCTGAGTATGCCTGCGGCTTGCCAGCTGACTTCAACCACAAGCATGGGGCCCAGGCACAGAGGTAGGGCTCTGCCAGACCCCAAAAGCTATAAATCTTGGCCCATCACTAGTCAAGACCTTGCCCTGCAACTGGAAGAGGCTGGCCAGGATGATCTGCCCCCCAGGCAGGAACTGAACATGAAAGTCAAGCTCCCCCTGGCAATGGAATCAATCCCCTTTGCTAAGGGACCTGTATGCCAGAGAGGCCTTTGCGGATTGGAGAATCAGTCCCTCATCTTTTAATAAACCTCAGTGCAATGGCTAATTAACCCTATGTTGCTGGATTGTCACTCAGCACAGGGTTGGTTGGTTGTTTTTTTAAACCATAAAGTAGGCAGCTTGAGGCTGTTAGTCCTGGGCACACATCTGAGCCACGTGCTCCCATGCTCTCTCCTTTGTGAGTGAGCTGCTGCATACACATCACATTGCAAATAGGCACCCAGCCAACTCATCCTTCTAGCTAGAGGACACACGTGGTGGAGTGTGCTTCTGTTACAGACTGCCATCCGCCAGCGGCTGTGGGCAGGCAGGCAATGAGACATGCTGAAGATGCAGTGACTCAGGAGGAGATACAGCTGCATTCAGAGCGGTCTCGGTGCCAGGGGCTGGACACCCAGGCCTGGGCCTGCTGCACTGTTACAGATAATCATTAAGTCACCTCCGCAACACCTTTTGTATCTTTCCGCTCTGTTATTCTTCACATTAACCATGCGGGTGTTCTTGGATTGAAAACAACCACCTTCCTCAGCTCCAGTAAAATGTCATTAGTCAAGTGTAAGGTCCAGCTTTTGCATACTGCCAGAAAGGGTTAAGGCCTCCACTTCAAACAGCTGAAAGCCCAGGGGGTTTGAGAAAACAGAGCCACTTTTTGCCTGCCTGTCCAGCGGCTGCAGGCAGGCATTCAGGACACACGGCTCCAGGTTTGCTCTTCTCCTTGTAGCAGGCGTGGCGGTGACAGCGTAAAGTAGGATTTGGGGCCTCACAGCACAGGAAAATCTCCACTGCCGGGGCATTAATGCAGCATACATTCCGGAGTCAGCATCGCTGGGACCGGCCCAGGGCGTCAGTAAGAACAGCCTTGCGTGAGTGAGCCAGGGCTCTAGCTATGGCTGCAAAAAGCATTTTCGGTAGATCCACACTTTTAGAACATGGGTTACCTGACTGCTGGAGAGGAAATACTGGAAAAACACCCACCCACCCTCTGCCCCTTTCCCTCTGCCTATGTTGTTACTGCACCAAAGGGGCTGAGCAAGAGAATGCCCTAGAAAGCATTGGAAGGCCTGCAGGTGGGAGGAGCGGGGAGGAGGGGAGGGTGCCTCTGGAGCAGGACAAGTACTTGCTGGCTCAGCACATGGCCTCAGAAAACATGGAGGTAAAGTGAGGCTAAACAACGCTCCAAAGGTGGAGCAGAAAGACCTGGGCTATAATGACTGGCTCACCCCGCATTTCTGAAGCCAGAGGAAGGAGTTTGCAGTGAAGGTTTTCTCAGTTGCCTACAGCACTAACTTGCCAATCCCAAAAACTCAAAAATCAAGAGTCAGGTCTCAAAAAAAACATTTTTTTTTTTTAAAGACATAAATGTGCA